TGGGCCACCTGCAGAGGCGCCTGCAGGGCCCTGCCGGGGCTGGGCTCTCCCACCTGCAGCACACAATAAAGAATTTAAAGGGGTTGATTCAACACTGAAAACGCGTATCTCTTGCCCGAATGCCTTGATGGAGGTCAGTCTTCTGAGCAGCGCCAACCTGATGCCCCAAGCAGGAACCCCGGACACTATGTTGGGAGAATCCACTAACCAGAATCTACCCAGGCATGATTTCGAAACCTTTGTCACACCCACAGGCTTCGGAAACTCTCTGGGCCCCGTGCGAACAAAGATGCTGTCACAGTAGAAGCCCTTGGCAAGGAGTTAAACCCATGCAACCGAGCGCAGCCCAAGACAGCTGCCTCGAACCGTCTAGGGAAGCTTTGGAATCCGCAGCAGATTGAGCAAAGGGGGAGAACGCCCAAAGCTAGCTCTGGAGGACATCCGAAACTAGCAACATCTAGCTCAATATCTCTCATCCCAGCAGCTCTTTGCGCTGCAGTTGGGCGAGGAAGTTCTGCTTTCGAAGCAGTCGCTCTGTCATCGTCGAGCTTGCAACAGCAGCTTCTGCCTCAGCTTCATGGTACTGTGCCATCATTGCCAACGTCGCTCTAAGCGCAACACTTCTTTTGCCACCATGCTGCTGACTGACGCCCACCGGACGTGGCCGAAGTGTCTACAACCACCTTAGTGGAGTCCAGCTCTGGCTCAGGCCTTCTCAAGTGAGCTTCAAAACTCCTCAGACGGAATCAAAAAAGATCTTGAAGTAAAAACCCTGTGCTGCTGGCTAAGTTGCACTGACTATGCCGGACTTGACAATGTACAGCTGTCGAACATGCTGTCCTGTTTCCCTCAGCTTCTCAATCGCTGAACACACAGAAGCCGCAGAAGTGAACCATGCAATCTGAAACAACATGTTTGAAAGGTTGTGAAAGATGATGGAAGACAGCGTATAGAACACTGGATGGAAACTGACCAATGAAGAAGTGGGAGCATTCCACTCAGCAGCTGCTCAGTGATTGCAATCCAGCACGTGTTCAAGAACCGCGAACCAATTCCCCTCTCAGAAGGCGATGCCTGCAGACTTGGACTCGGAGAACGAGATGGTCAAGGCGATTGGAAGTCCAGGCCAACGACGGCTCAACCAGTAGCGGCTGCGTAGCGACTTGACTCAATTGACTGCCAAGTTGCACGATCGTATCGCCCTTTTTGTAAGTTTTCAATACCTGGGCCACCAATAAACATGATTCTAGGGCTTTTTTCTGCACATGTGCTCGAAGGCAGCTGAGATGGCTGCTGCACCAGCAGCCAGCTCTTTCAATTTGTCCTCACTCGCAGCAAGTAACGCTCCTCGGCAGTTGCAAACATAGGCACTCTTATCCGTGCAACGACCTCGCACACTGCAATGTTGCATCAGCGTGATGGCAACCCATGTGTTTCGATGTGATGTCTGCGACTGCTTCGGAAAGCAATCTCGTTTGCATCAAAGGATCGAAGGTTGGCATTCTCACTGATAGCCTGCAGGTCAGACGTGCATTCTTGCACGTTCTGACAACCGTTATTTAATGCATGAAGATCATGAAGCAGCTCTTCGCCTTGCAGACGAAGAGTAGTTCGTTCGGGGGCAGCTTTGGAATGTCCTTCATCTCCGCTCCGCCAACCTCCTGTGCGAGCTATAACAAAACTAAGAAACTAAGAAACTGGGTACAGAGTTGACCATCATCCTGAGAAACCATTCATACGTCACATCTTGTCACTCGGTACCATATACTTCTTCTCTCTCGGACTTATCCTCTCAGATACTCTCATACACTCGTGAGGTCCTAGCTTGCAAGCGCCCCCAAAGAACTTGCATACAACTCTTGCGGATCTCCTGAGGCGAGTTGTAGATGGCTGGTCTCTTTGGAAACTGTAACCTTGGCATGCAAGGCAGATAAGGCAGCGGGATGGCACATAGCACAATGGCAAATTGGCAGGCCACCATCGTCGCAGGCCAAGAGTTTCAAAGCGGTCTCTTGACAGCGACAGCGTGACCTGAGATGCCGAAATCTGTGTGCTAGCAGGCACTAGCAGCTAGCAGCACGAGGGAGGACATGCCACCGATTTATATGCAATTTCGGCACAAGGCTGCTCTTGCGGCTCGCAACAATTGTGGCGACCTTACAGAAAGCAGTCTTCAAACGTTTCTAAATACCAACAGCGGGTGGATGTCATGAACTGCGCATAACTGTGCTGTTGCCGTGCTGATATTGCAGCGCGAGAATGAAACCTCTAAAAGGGCCTGTACACTTGGTGAATGCAGTTATAGGCCGGGAGTGACACACTCAAAGTGCCTGAAGTTCTACCACTTTCATGCCACAATTGTGTGCATGTTGACCTTGCGTTCCACCGTTTGAAGTCTCTAACCACAAGGAATGGCAAGCAAGACCCCGGGCGAAAGCGAGATGAGCCTACCAGCAGCGGGCAGCAACATCCTTGAGACAGGAAACCGATCCTGAAAATCTTCGGGCGCCCAGAGCTGGCATCCAATCCATTACACACGGGTGATGCCGAGATTATGTTACGGCCTGAGGGGGAGAGAGGAGCCGAACGGTAGGCCGCCCTCCGGTCAATGTCGACTGGCAACTGAGATGCTGGCATTGGCACCTTATCGCAAGCATGGCAGAAGCAGGAGCAGCAGCAGCAATTGACAAAGACTCGCGGAGGAACAGCTGTGCACTGCCGGCAAGTCCATGCTACATGAAACCCATGACATGCTGACTTTGGGTCAAGATGCGCTCAGTGATCAGCGTGTGGCCGCCAAAGTAGTCTCCGGCAAGAAGCGTAGCGCGCACAACTTCTGGAGCTCCAGGCTTTTGACCTGGTGTCAAAGATGTGTCAAAGATGTGTGCTGGTCATGCCGCAGCGCCGCACATGCCATGTGGCATCCCGGGGCACGGCACCAACGAAATGCGGACAGTTCAAATCGCCTGTCCCTAAGCCCGCAGCAGGTGACGACTTCAGCTTCGCCACTTTCTATCAGGAAAAGCGCTTTGCCTCTGATTCTTATCAGGTAGGGAGCAGTGTCGCAACGGCCAGCTACGAATCATGCAGAGGTATGTTGGAAGGGAAAGGTTATGTGGTCACACGCACGGTAACCAGACCAGGGAAGCTGTGTCACCTTGTTGCAAGCCTCATAGTTAAGAATGATTCTAATCGATCTAACTGCGGCGAAGAATCCCATCTCACCTTGTCCTTGGATTTGCAAGGGCATGGCTGCAGCTTCTGCCCGCAGCTTGTGCCCGCAGCATTCACAAGTCCGCACGACTTCCAAATTCATCGCGGTTGCTCACGAGGATCTGCCCTGGCTGCCATACCCTGAGCATCTGTTTTCTTCACAACGCACATAAATGCTCGAACTTGCTCTGACGGTGGGTCGCTTCACTGGCGCAATGATCGCGCGTTTCTTCATGTTGAATGCCGACACGATTCTCTGAATGCTGTTCTACTGTACACGCGCTTGGTTCCGCAAAGTGAGCGCTTCGACAGCAACACAAACAGGAAGCCTTAGCAGCGGAGAATCAGGGAGCCGCCAAGGGCGTCACTCAATAAGAAGACAGGACATTGCAGAGCATTCAATGAGAACGGGTACGAACGGAATATGCTCTTTCATCCGTGCCAGACATCAAACAGGCAACTGCCACATGCGCCGATTTGTCTGACGGTTAACGCATGAAAAGTTGGCAAGTTTGACCACACGAAAAATACACAGCGTACACCATTGTGCCACCCAACTACGACCAGCTTACTGCTGCAAACAGTATCAGAGCACGTCAACTCCTGGACCAGGTGCCAGATCCATTGCTGCATATTGCTCCATGGGCAAGATTAAGAAAACATGAGCCTCCGGGTGAGTTGCTGAGCAACCTTGGGCAGTTCAGCCTTGGGCAACCTTGGCTCTGTCACTGTCACAGTGACCGATGCACCTTCTCACACACATGTCTTACATTGTTTTACAAGCCCTGCGCACATTTCTCACTCCTTGACTCAGCGAGGCGCTGCTTCTTCAGAAGCGGCACGGAAAGGAGAAAGTCGACGGTGCGTTCAAAAGCCTCCCGTTCCTGCAAATCGACAGCTTCCGGCTTGATGGCCCAAATTGATGAAAGCATGCAGCTTTGCAGCTATCCAGTTGCCACAGCAGCAGAGGAATACTGACAGAATTGGAGTGTCTGCTTTGGTATCATTCCGTCCTCGCCATAGTTGCCAGGCGCCTGAAACGCACCCAAAATGCCTCGCAGCCTGACTGACAAAAAACGTAAATGCGCGGTTGGTCAGTGCGTGGTGACTTTGGCACCTTTGCTGCAATCCTTCGAAGCAGCCACACGCCATGGGCTAATTACAAGGAAAAAGATACAAAAATTGACTAGAGGCTAAATAGAGTCACTCGAGGCCAGAGATCGGCCTGCCGGCGCTACATGATCTCTTTACTGGTGTCTGAGGCAGCATACTGATCTAGAGTAGTGTTGCTGTTTCGCGCCAAACTCTGAGGTCTTCAAGCTGTGGTATAATCGGGGCGCTTCTTGTTGAAGCCATCTGCAGCTGCACTTCCAGATATTGACACGACCATGAAGAGGACCCGCTTTCTTCTGGCGTGCATGAGCTGGGCAAGTTGCAACTGGACAGGACATGACAGGACCAAGCACACAGAAAGCCTGCAACTTTCTGCTCTTCCGGGCAGTTTCTAGAAAGGTGTCTCGTGGTGGCTCGCGAATTTGCAAAGCTCGATACAGACAGCTTTAGAGCACAGACTATGCAAGCACTCGGCTATCATTGATACTGCCTCTACAACTCAATCTTCCCAGGTACGGAAAGCTACCGTCATTCTTGTCGCCGGTCTTTGGCGCAAGGGGCTTTCGGCTTTCGACTCAGTCTCTCATAGCAGGCTGACACTCAGCGTTGGCCTGACGCGTGACACAAACCTCTCGGTGCCATCTACTGAGCCTACTGAATTCACTTCTGGCTCGTCATTCCGCTCGACCTTGCGCTTTCTTCCTGGGCTCAAACAGGCTCCAACCAGCCGATTTAGCAGTGAGATGCAGTGAGTCTCCCGATATCTCTAGCCGACTCTAGCCCCCTACCCTTCAGAAAGGCAGCCAAGGGTCCCCTTGGACTTTGGTGCCTTGCTGACTGAATGGTTCGTGTTGCTGACAGGTTCTGCAGCGTCCTGTCACAAGATCCAGAAGCATTGCAACCCATGATATTCAACAAAAGTCGGCCTTCACAGTCAACGTATAAACCGTTCAAACCTATCAAGACCCATCCCTGCGAGCACGTTTGAGGTCAAGGGAGGTCCAGCTCACAGGTTTGTACGTTCCGTAACATGGTTCAGCCAGTTTAGTGCTCTGCATTTCTTGCTCTAGCAGGTTCCAGCAATGACGGTGTGTGGAAGGCATGCGGAGGGACATGGCGAGGTGACGAGCATCCGTGAGTGCGAACTTGTCATGGACGAACCCCCGGGCTGAAATCCAAGGAGAGGAACTTGAAGTACTGGTTCAACCAAAGCATAGGGTGGGAAGAAGATGAAAAACATTTTTAAAATGGATTGGATCAAGTGGGTTGTTTTTTCAATCGGTTTTCGCATTGATTCGTGGTCTTTAGATCGAAAAAGCGCGGTCCTGGTTGAAGGCAAGCCAAACCTTGCTCCAGTTGTCCGCAATTTGTCTGGCACAAGTGAGATCCAAGAACTGAAGCAAGACTGGTGTGCGAAGACAAGCTTAGATATCGCGATGCCTGTAAATGAAGTAGGCGCCGACCATGAGAGCAAGCAGCCTCAGCTACAATTCCCTTAATCGTGCTGCTTGAGCACGTACTTTGTATTTACATTGTAGCTGCGGTGCGTCCAGATGTCGAAGTATTGCAGGAGGTGAATGACAGCCTCGCTTTCAGGCCAGCTTGTGGCATCAGAAGTGCTTCGATTCAAGACGGCTAAGCCGCCAAGCGCTGTAAGGCAAAGGCATACAACCCTCCAAAAGAGCCAGCGACCTGTTTCATCGACCTTGGCTGTGTTATAGTCTGTTACACACACACACACACTTTTACATAGCATCCAACAGAGGAGTAGCAACTTGCAGAAACTGACCGGGGGTTCGCGCAACTCTTCACTTCTCTTTTGTCGCAATGTGCGATGGTACTCCTTAAACACTCAAAAGCCAAGGCATGGGAAAGCCATGTTGGTAAGTAAGACCCAGCTTTGAATCTCTCCGGCATGAACATGTTGGCCAGTCTTGTTGTCCTTACGATGCAGGAAAAGCACAGCTTGTGAGTTCGGACTTGTTTTCGCGGACCTCTGCGGACAAGATTCGGTGCTTTGAGGCCTTGACAGCTGCACTTGAGCCCAGAATCCAGATGGAACTCCCTTCAGTTCGAAACCATCTTCCAAGCTGCCATCAATGCCATCACATGTGCGCTGCAGGCAAGAGGTAAATGTGGCAGATGGCGGCAGCTTTTTCATCTTTTTCTCGTGTCTATCATGTCAGTTTTTGTGCTGGGCGCAGCAGTGCGCAGCCCAAGCTCAAGCATGGCATTGCACCGCCTGATTTACAGAGACAGCCACTGTACTGCATATGTCCCTTGCTCCCAGATGGAGGTCTTAAAAGGCTTGCAGCATCTTGCAGCATCTTGCAGCATCTTGCAGCATCTTGCAGCATCTCGAAGCTCAAAGCTCGTTCCATCCTGGGTGTGCTGAGCGTTGCCACTCATTGCCTTGCATGGCCACTTTGTGCAAAGATGCGACTCAGGCCAAGACCTGCCACGTGTTATTTGCTTTTGCCTCCGCCTCCGCCCGAACTCTCAGCAGCCTGCACTCAAGAGGTCGGATGCTCGCTCACCTCCGCACTGGTGTTCAGGGCTCTGCCTTCTTCTCTTCTGCAAGCCGCTGCTTTTCTCTCATGATCGCCTCAGCGCATGGATGTCTGGTAAGGAAGCTCGTGCTCTGGGTTTGAGACCGCTACTGCGGTGTCTTCTTTGCCTTTGATGGTCGAATTTGACTTCGCACCTTCAGGCAGCAAACGTGTAAACGAAATTGTTGAGCTCAAATGTCATTTGCCTGCATTGCGGTTGGCTGCTCTTTCACGGTCGCGGTCGCGCTGGTTACCGCGAGTCATGCTGCCTGAGTCCGAAGTCCACAACAGGATGCGTCTGTGCAAGCCTTGCAAGCCCAGAACATGAGCGTCGCACATAAAACAGCAAATCTGCCTTCTAGTGATTAGCTTTTACCTAGTCGTTAAACCCGTTCACCACCTTTCCCAGTCTCCGAATGTTATCCGGCTTGCGGCCCCTCACCCCCGAACCCCCACGGCCCCGCATCCCGATCGTCCGCTGCGCTCCGTACTGGATGACAAGAGCCCGAACGCCTTCGCCCAACGTTCGACGGAGATTAAATGAGGGTGCGATGCCAAAAAACAATGGTATTTACCACACAACGATTTGCAATCCGCAGAGCTGGGAGAATGGGAGATCAAAACGCCCGTCATCCACACGGGATGGCCTTGGTCAGGTCATGAATCATGAAGCTCGTCCGCCAGATAATCGAGAGTTCTCCATTTAGCGCGTTTTCGAAATTTACAGTTCCGGCCCCCCCCCCCCCCCCCCCCCCCCCTTCAACACTCTCCCCCCCCCCCACCCCCACCCACCCACCCTCACCACCCCCCCCTACGCACATCCCCGCAATTTCATTTCAACATAATTCAAATTCAAAAAAACAGGACTTGAAATTCAATGAAAAATAGGCCCAACTAGTTCAAGATCATTATGCACATTAAAAGCAATTAAAATATCAATTACAACGATAAAAGATACAAAAAAATAGAATTTTCGTTGCTTTGCAATTTTTTTATTTTCACCGTTTTCAATTAAGAATATTGACAAAGTGACTAAATAGTGAAATCACTTGAAAAAATGGAACAAGCGATTTCACTATTTAGTCACTTTGTCAATATTTTTAATTGAAAATGGTGAAAAAAACAATTGCAAAGCAACGAAAATTCTATTTTTATATCTTTTATCGTTGTAATTGATATTTTAACTGCTTTTAATGTGCATAATGATCTTGAACTAGTTGGGCCTATTTTTCATTGAATTTCAAGTCATTTTTAGTGAATTTGAATTATGTTGAAATGAAATTGCGGGGATGTGCGTAGCGGGGGGTGCGTGAGGGGGGGGGGGTGGGTGTCGGTGGGTTGGGGTGGGTGGTGACCCCCCCCCCCCCCGTTGGGGGGGGGGGGGGGGGGGTGGGGGGGTGGGTGGTACCCAACATGAAAAGCCGCACTTCGTGGAGAACTATCAGATAATCTCCGCCAATGCGACGGCAAGAGCCCTGCAATGCATTTGACGTCGTTGACAGATCGCTCGACGCTGTGGCTCGGACGGCAAGAGCTACCGTTGGAGCGGCCATTCGTGCTCTCGTTTACGCGGTTCGCAAGCTCACTGCAATAACAAGAAAGAACCGCGTGAAGGAAGTCATGACACGTGAATACTAAAACCGCAGGCCATTCATTGCGCTCGCTTCTCTCGCTTATTCACTTCACTTTCTAGGAGTTAACCTGTGATAGACTACGCCCGTCCCACGAAAACCCCAATTAAAATCATGCGTCACGCGCTCGTTTCACTCCCTTGTTTCCTCATGTTTTAAGAGGAGTTCTCGTTTACACGGTTAATCCACAGTCTTATGATAAGGGCTGTAGTTCGTTCATCATCAAGCTTCATGGACAGGCTTTTAATAAGTCATGATTGGTGGATTTCTAAGTCATGAAGCCCCCCTAAAGAACCCCCAATTATAATATTATTAATGCGCGTGCGTGAACTTACCGCAGTAATGCTATTACATTGGGTTCTTGGGGGTTACGTTCGCAGCATCTATTTTGTCACATACCTTGTGGCTTGCCAAGCTTGTGGCTGGCCTATCCAGTTTTGCCATGTAGTTTGTGGCTTGACAAGGCCTGTTTGGCCAGATGGTTTGTGCAGGGTATGAGGTGGTGTCGGGGACTTTGGTCGGACACTGCTTTGAAGCATCGGGCACCGTAAAGGCCCGTTCGGGGATCCCAGGGCAAAGCTATCGGGCGCCAACAAGAACGCCGCGTCAAGCGGGGCAGCTCGCGGGGAAGCCCCGCACCACCAGAACCCCCAACCCTAAAAGCCCTGACCCTAAACGTCCTAAACGAGAATCCCGGGACAACGGCAGCCCTGAACCCGAAACCCCAAACTCCCGAACCTTCAATTAACCATAAACCCGGAACCCTAAACGCAGATTAACCAGCGGACAACGACAACCCTTAACCCTGAACCATAAAGACCAAACCCTGAACCCTGAACCCTAAACCCCGAAGCCCTGAACCCCCCCAAACTTTCATGCATGTCATGCGAACAATGCGTTTGCAAACAGATGCAAAAAGGCTGTTTTGCCACTTAATGCTGGACTGGCTTTAGTATAAGGAGGGTCTATAATCACAAGTTTCAAAAATTTATTCAGCGCAACGAGTTTGTTCGGGGTACCGTCTATTATCACAAGTTTTTCCGGACGTTTTTTTGTTTTAGGGTTTGTGTTTTGGTTTAAGGGCTTACGCAGTAAGGCTTGAGGCCCTGAGAGTCTTGGGATGTCTTGGGCTCCAGGAATCTTAAAGAGCCTGAGCGCGGAGAATCCAGAAATCTAAGCCCGGCCAGTTCCATGTAAAGCCTTATGGAAATTCATTACGAAACGAGGCCCCAAACAAATTTTGTGATAGGTAGCCCACGGGCCGGTCAGGCTGTCTCAAGTAAGTTTGTCTGGCTACCCTCTGTAATACCAAGTTTTTTTTTCGGATGAGTTTTTAAGGGTTTGTGTTTAGGGTTAAGGGGCTTACGCAGTAAGGCTTGAGGGCCTGAGGGCCTTGGGTTCCAGGAATCTTGGAAAGCTTCAGGCCTTGAGGTCCTAAAGGCTTGAAGCCCTGAGCATCCCTGAGCCCCCCCAATTTGTTTGGGGAGGTCGCCGGGCCATGCGTTTATAGAGGGTCCCAAATTTGTTGGGGGGGGGGGCCATACTAAAGACAGTGCAACATTAGCGTGCTGCCGGTCGAACCTGTGTCGCCACATAGTTTCTGTCTCGTCAAGGCCCGTGTTGCCACTTAGCTTGTGGCAGGCCAAGACAATTCGTAGAACGCGCGCTGCAGCCGCAACAAAAAATGTGGCAAAATGCGCTGCAAAAATTTGTGGCAAAAAACTGTGTCAACAGTGGCGGCAACACTTGTAGCAATAGTGATTGTGTGGCAAAATGTGCGGCAAAACTTGCAGCAAAACCGGCCAGTAGTCGCGCAAAAGTTGCGGAAAACGCAATCGACAGGTTTTGCGTCGCCTTCTAAGCATAAAGCACATCCTTTCCACTTGATTGTGAGAATTCGTGGTTAGAATTGGCTGCGAAATACGTGGCGAAAAATGTGGAGAAAGTTGCGACAACAGAATGCGGGAACTGAACAGTTGTGGCAAAAACTGTGGCAAAAGCTCTGTTGTCCGGGTAGTGTGGCAACATGCGATGTGGCAAAGCATGTGATAAAAGTGCGTTTTGAACCCCTGCTACCAGACTGGTTACTTGTTAGGGGTGTTTGGCGGTGGTGGTCCAGCATGTCTCTCTATGCTTCCCGCACAGGTGGACGCAGCTTCCATTCTGGTTCAGAGTTCCTTTTATGTCTTTTTTCCCTTTGAACCACTGGATTTAAAGCAGCACGTATTGTTGGTAGAAGATAAAGCATTGCAATGTTAGGTGTGTTTCGAGTTCGGTGGGGTCGAGGAAAATGGCTCTGGGTGTTGCTGGGTTTGCGGTAGGTTCGCGGAAGGTTTGTTGCCTTGTTCCGAAAAGAGCAGCGAGGCTTTAGTGCTCGTATATCCAAGCTTGAGAAAATGAAAAGGACCTCGGTTGCAAAGATACGAGTCCCTGGCCGAGCAGGGCCCGCCAACAGTGAAGCCTTCTTCGCCAGCACGCCCTTTAAAACTACGGGTCTTGTGGCTTGTGCAGACTCATGTCAGCGGGCCGCGCCAGCGGGGCCCGCCAAACAGTGACCAATTGCGAAACCTTTCCAACCTAGCACTGGGTTAACCGCGAAAAACTTCGAACCCTTCCAGATGGCGAGACGAGCGCTGACACCGCCTCCAGACATTGAATGAAACTGGCACATGCATGCGACATCAATCGCAGCGCCGCCCGCGTGTTCATTAAGGCAACATTCCGGTACAGGTGCAGCCTGAGCCTCCCTGGCTTGCTGACAAAGGAAACATTTCGGTACAGTTGCCCCCCAGTCGCAGTCGCGTGGCGGCTGCCCCCGGCGGTGCTGAACCACCCTTGTAAAACTTTATGCTGCGACGCAAGCTACAGCCTTGAGAACCGATGCACTGTCGCAACCGGCCAGGCCAAATGTGTTGGTGTTGTGTTTTTGCGGCACCACCGCACTACGGCCGAATCAGGATCGCAGCAATCGTGAGGATGTGCTTTAGTTGATCCGCTCCGCCTGAGCCATACCCTTCATATCCCCTTCAACTCGAGCTCAAGCAGCGCTTGCTGCTTTCCGAAGTTCCTGTCTCTGCAAACATCTTGCATACATTCAACTCATTCCTTAACCATCGACAAGGCTCTAGAACGGAAAGGGAAAACGACACACGGGAGCAGCTTGAACCAGACACTGCTCGAGCACTGACGATAGCAATCTGGTCACGACATCATGCAGTAGTGGTGCCAACGGTGGCCAACCGGATCCAACCGGCTTAGTTTTCTCATGAGCATGCGCACGAGGCAAGTGCTAAAGAGCGGCTGACTCAGACTCAGTACACAGAGACGTACTGAGTTGGCGTTGCCCCGAGTTGCCCTGCACCGACAGTCTCGGTCTGCAGCCCACCTGCACACGATTGCACTCGTACAGTCCAGACTATTCCAGATTGCTCCTTGAAATTTTTCGGCCTGCGAGCACATTAACGCACACGTCGCATCTACTTGCCGACAGCCGGGTCGTACCTGGCAACATGTTGACAGCTTTTGACAGCTTCTCGGCATCTCTCGGCTCTCTGGCCTTCCTGGCGTGCCCATCACTGCACGTGACAGGCCAGGAATGTTGAGCGTTCTGATCGCGAGAGCCTCCAGGTGTACTTCAGTGTACTTCAGTGGCGTGCTGATGGCGTTGAGCAACCTTTACACAGCACAGCCTCCATCATTTTGTACACCTCATGCTTGGCTTTGGCCACAGAGACCTGTGTTGGACCTGGCGATCCAGTCACTGATGCACATGTCTCAAACAGGTACAGGACATTGCCACGGCATGACAGAAGTGCACTTGAAAGCCTAGAATCTCAACGTACAGCTTTTTGGCACCTGGCAGGGCACATCAGTGTCCCAACGACGGTGCAAAAAAGGCCACGACTAGCCTTCGGGCATCCGTGCTCCAGAAGTGAAGTGCTGGCCCTTGACCTGGCACTGAGAGTGCTGATCTCAGACAGTAGATCCATATCCACGCAATTGCGCGAACCTGTACTTTTGCACCAGTCATCTCTTCAATGGCGACAAGCGGGTCCTGCACCAGCACAACACAGCAGTTTCATCACAAGAAAAAGTGAATGTATGCAAGAATTTTCTCTCTGCCAGCACTTGTTTCTGGCACTCTGTCAGCCACACAAGTGTCCCGATGCGTGATCTTCTGTCGCGCAATCTGCGGGTAGTCATTGATCTCGAGCTCATCACTGCACATTCCAGCCGGAATATCCTGTCTCAGGCATCCGCATCACCTCTGAACAAATCACCAGCTAAGGCATCTCGGGTGCCCTTGCCTTGGCGCCAAGCATCTTGGCAGCCTTTCGCGGAGATGAAGCGATGCCGAGATACAAAAAACAATACAAGGTATTCGGCCTTTTCCTCGGCAAGGTGCGCAGTTCCTGCACCTGGTTTAGCCTGAGACACTGTCCAAGGCATGCAAAGGCACAATCTAAATTAAAACGTCCAGCCGTTGGCTCTCAGAGGCACGCGGCTTGCGCCTGAAGCGACTCGATGGCACTGGTGACCTGGCTGCGGCTTGGTTCGACAGCAAACTCGGGGCGTCAGGCTTGCAACGGTGACGGCAAGACCATGGTTGCCTCGGATGCAAGCGCTGCTGATGGGGAACAAGATGTATACATTTCTGGGGCACTTCACAATGGACAGTTAAGAAACAACTTTTGTTCACACCCTCAGTCAGATTTTACCAATGGCGCAACACATATTGCAACGTGTTGCAACATGTTGCTCAAATTGTTGCAACTGGCGCCTTGGCCGGCACCAAGCCTTGTCCCAGGACTCCAGGAACCAAGGGAATGGCCTCTCATCTCTCACATCTCACAGAGTTCCACAATTGTTCACACTTTCGCTCTTATCTCTTGCTTTCTCTTGCTTTTGTTGAAAAGAAACGTGGCTTGCTGCTGCACATGCTGCTGCACATGCTGCTGCAGATGCTGCCCCGCTCTTTCTGGATTCGTTGGATATGCACCCTTCAGTCAAGAACGAGCCAACACAAACCCACAGCAAAACAGCTGCCCAGCAAGGCAGCGACTCGAGAAAGGTTTGGCTCTGGCCAAAAGTGGACGGCGTCAGCTGCAAACGTTCTTGCAGGCTTTGAAAACTTTTCGAGCTGTAGGATCCGACTATCGCTTCGAGCCCCAGAGACTCGAACGTTTGCTTTATACAGATCAATGTACCACAACCCCCGCCTTACATAGGCGCAGGCTGCGGTACCAGAAAAGACAGCTTCGTCAAAGCCGCTTTAGGTTGGCCGACAGACGTTTGGAACAAGCAGACCAGGATCTGGTATCCTTTCCCCCTTCCCAACCCGCCCCCCAGGGCCTGTTGGAGGGAGAACTCTCCCTGCTTGCCGTCTTGGCAGCTACCCAAGCATCAATTGGCAACAAGCCCACGAACACAGACAATAAGTCCACCTTGTTGCACGGCACCCTTCGGGGTGGATGGGAGAACCCTCTGTCCGATGCCTTCTTGCTGATTTCTTTCGCAGCTCCCACCCTTCGAAGTGCTCCGAAAATGTTGAACTCTGAATTTCCCTTAAAGCCCCCAAGCCCAAGACCATGCGAAAGCTTATATGTTAGGAGCGCGGGCGTTCCACATGGCGAAACATACGATTGTCAAGTAAGTCCGGCATGTACACGACATGCTCCATTAACACACAGTCCTTGAATGGTGCCCACTCTGCCACCCTGTGCCTTCATCGCAGGCGATGGCGCGGGTTCCGGCTCTTTCCTGGATACATCTGGATACCATAGACCGAGCGGACATGAAGCATTGCAACAGTTCCCCCCCAAGCTAGTGACACCCCTTCCTGTTGCGAGCAGTCCGGGAGGTCAACAAAGGAGAGTCGACGCCGAGCCGTAAAGATGCTCCACATATCTCTGGAAAAGCCCACGCAAGCCTCCGACAATTCGGAAGGCCCAATTTTGCTGAGCGTCACTTCTGCTTCTTCTTCAGGTGGCGGGGCTGGAACTTTGGCCGCAGCTTCATCCAGCTTTGCCTGACATGTTCCGTGATACTCTGCAAGTGCATTGCGGAAACGACAGACAGAGCGGGTATTGGCAGGCTTGCGGACCTGTTCGGCTTTTCTGAGCTTGTTGACAAGCTTCTCGATCAATGCTGGCAGTTGCTTCTCCTGCACCTGGCATTCCGCGTGTATTGTGAGGTTTGCCGCCGCTACACCCCTTGCAACTGCCTCTTCTGGAAGGCTTTTCAGCGTGTCTTGCGCCATTTGACGAGCCTGCTCCTGCCCAGCGAAAAACCAAACATGCCATCAATAAGCCTTTAAGCTCACCATCCGTCTGCCTGTATCTCTTTTTCTGACTTTTTGGGCATCACCTCTTCAAGATGAGAATGTGAGTGAGGGCAACAAGCTGCGGAACTGCTCACCAGGCTCCACATGCGCCTTGGATTGTAAGGAGGCAGGTTGCGGAACTCCTGCAAAGAACCGAAAGACTGCAAAGCTGGATCACAACTGCAGCGGGCAGCCCTAAGAGTGAGCGTTTTGGGCATCTAATCCTTCGAATTTAAGTATAAGACATGTTCTGTATTGTGATGTGTTATTGTACTGTACGAATGCTGGCATTGACAACTCTACTCTACACGTCAAAAAGAAAACATTTCCACAGTTGTGCAACTAGCATATCTTGTCACGAGAACCTGTTTTTTGTGTCTTATAATTAAATTCCTCATGCCTTTGTTTCCTCGACACTACAGTGCAATGGGAAACCACCGTGTCCAGCAATATTGAGAGAAACGAGGAATATGTAGACTAGGACAAACTCCCATCTGACACAAGCGAGAAGGGGCAGCATGTACATTGGCAAACGGGTCTCAGTATAGGGACCCGAGTGAGATAATCAACTTCAAGTTTGCGGCAAGCTTGGTGGTGCTAACAAAGTCAATGCATGTGATGCCGTTCCAACTTGTCTTATGGTCAAACTTGACTTCGTCAGGCTATGTTTCCAAACATGTCATGCACAATGACACCCTCCCTTCCTTCCCCTTCCTTCCCCTTCCTTCCCCTTCCTTCCCCTTCCTTCCCCTTCCTTCCCCTTCCTTCCCCTTCCTTCCCCTTCCTTCCCCTTCCTTCCCCTTCCTTCCCCTTCCTTCCCCTTCCTTCCCCTTCCTTCCCCTTCCTTCCCCTTCCTTCCCCTCTTCCTTCCCCTCCTTCGTCCCTATCTGCCCCTTCTGTCCTTTGCACCTATCCTTCCCGATTCAGTTAACACTTGCTCTTCCCCATTCTCCTTCACCTGCATTTACCTTCTTCCCAATTCCTTCACTCCTTCCACTACTGCACACTTTTTCATTCCATTTCCTTCCTTCCCTCTTTCCTTTTCCCTATTCCTTGTCCCGTAGTCTTCCGCACCTAATATTTCTTATCCCCTCTTTCCTTCCACTTATCATTACCCTACTCCTTTCCACTTCAGTACCCTCCTTTCCTTCCTTCCCCTTTCCTGAGCCCCTTCTTCCCTTCCTTACCCTTTCTCCATGCCTTCCCATTACTTACCTTCACTAACCTTAATTCCCCTTCCTTCCCCTTCCTTCCCCTTCCTTCCCCTTCCTTCCCCTTCCTTCCCCTTCCTTCCCCTTCCTTCCCCTTCCTTCCCCTTCCTTCCCCTTCCTTCCCCTTCCTTCCCCTTCCTTCCCCTTCCTTCCCCTGCCCTCTTTGTTTCTTCCATTTCTTGTCCCTTGTGCTTTCCCGTTGTGTCCTTGTCCTGTTCCCCCCTGTCCTGGTCATTTTTGGCTATCATGTTCCTTATCCTTCTTCCTTCTTGCGTTTTCCTTGTTTTACTTTATCCTCATCCCTGTTACCTTTATCTGTATTACTTGTTCCTTGTCCATTGTTCCTTTTTTTCCTTTTCATTATCTTTCCTCTTCGTTTGTCACTTGCTCATTGTTCATTTTTTATGTTCGTCTTTTTCGTTCTTTACTTTTCCTTGTCCATTTTCATTTTGTTTTTTTTCATGGTTCCTCCTTTCATTTGTCTTTCTTCCATTTTCCTGTTCATTTTGCTTTTTTCCTTTTTTTAATTTTCCTCCCCCCCCCCCCCCCCCAATTTCCTTTTCCTTTCCCTTTCCCTCTTCCCTGCCCTATTCCTCCCCCCCCCCCACCCCCCCTTTCCTTACAAACTCGGTATGGCAGCATTTGAGCTCAGAACTGTTTCAGCAGCAACTAAGTGCCATTGCCAAGCCTGTGGCGCCATGCGCTGAGGCCTTAAAGACTGTCCCTCCACATGACTTCACATGCCAAAATCCAAGACAGACACCGATACAGAAAGAAACATTCCGAGTGCTTGGCGTCCTCGTTTGCTCCATTCTGTTTGGCCTGGCAATTCTCAATTTGATTGACAGCTCTGCTCAGCCACAGCAACGAAATGATGCAGAAGATTGCAAGCAGGCATGCTTCGGTTTCAAATGCACTTCACGAACACAGACATGATGCACTTTGCAGCCTTGCTTCGAGCAAGCGCAACGTGCCACAGACGTTACATGCAGTTTGAGCTCCAGAAACTCCTCGACCTGAAATTCCTTTGAGACGCTCAACTTGATGAGCAATTTCCGGTGCTCTCTCGCTCCTGAGAGCCGATGCTCGCATTCCGGTCAGCCGGTATCAGCCCTTGTGGCATGCTAATACAGCTTTCTATGGCTTTCTCATGACCCCACGGACGTTCAACGTCGCAACTACTCTGCGCAGGGCTGAAAGCTCTTTGCAGCTATGACTAATTTCGGCAGGCGGCCGGCACTTGTGGCGGCCCTGTGGAAGATCTGTGCACGCTGTTCGCACTCTGTCAGATCTGCTTTTCGTTCGACATTTCCAGCGCAATCAACGCAACGGAGGCTTGGAGCAACTCAGGGAGTCCTTTGCGGCACCAGAGCGCATCTTGAGAGCACACTAGGTCCGGTGTTGTGGGTTAGAACGTGTTCGGGGACACACGTTGAAAGAACGAGGAAAGAACGAGGTTCGTGCATGCGAAATGAAAACAAGCCGGACAGGTGGACTTCACCTGAGACATCATCTGCCCTCCAAACAAGCCCGCACACCCACTTCCGAAAAGCCCCCAAAGGGGTACTAATCAAACTGGAACGTGGCAAAGGGGGCTCATGCCCAGCAAATTAAATCAACAGCACGAATAGCATGAAGTAAAGGGAACGGCCAGGGAGCATCTTGAGCAAACTTCTGCGAAAGCAGGTTTGGGAGATCTCTTGCGTTCAGCCATCGTCTTGCACCAGGAAAAGCTGGCTCCTCCCATGTTGCACAGAATCAGCTGCCTCTCTGCAAAACTTGCAAAAGCAAACCTTCCACAATACCATCAAGGTCCTTTGAGTCCTTTGCTCTGCCTCCTGGTGATAGACAATTCTCAAGCAGCTCTTCTGGGTAGGCGCAAATCAACTTGAAATGGGTCCTGCTGTGCAGGACAGCCTCACAACATCTCACAACATCTCACAACCCTGCAAAGCGGCTGTAAACGCCAAAAGGCCAAAAAGCGGCAGTGCTACGAGACCTTGGCTGGGGTCCTTCGGTTTTCAGGCCAAAGTGCAGCCACCAAAGCGCCATAAACGAACACATTGCTCCCCTTGGTGATGGACAAGCTGACAATGTACCAAACGTACCTTGGTGTCCACATTCGTGCTTCTTGAGCTTTCTTGACCTGTCTCACGACAGAAAAGAACATTGCTATACCAAACTTAACACTAACTAGAAACGTCGTGGTTTCCATACTGAGCTGGCTTGCCGTGCGCATCACAACCATCCCACATGGCAACCGCCGAAGGGCACTCCCCCTTATGCAGCCATACTTGGCCAAAGTGTGCTAAATATGCAGCTATAGGCTTTATGTGCCTACATGCAGCTATGTTGCGGTGCCAGCAGAACTTTGGACAGCGCTGCGGAGAAGGGCAGGGCTCCAAACCTGATACACGAGGAGAAATCAATGAAGCAAATGCAACTGTGAAACCGACCTTGTGTTTAGTCGGGGCCCGTGCCAGCAGCCAAATGCGACTCCCCAGCGGCAGTAAAAGCAGCTGTCTGCCCGCCCAGACTGACAGCAGAGAGATGCAAAGAGGCAAGGTAGGGCAGCATTAGGCCAAACCTCAACATGCTCAAAGCATGTGACCCCTCTTCGCATCCAGCCCAGCCTCTTGCGACAAAGTCATGCGGATGTTGAAAACGTAGAAGGCAAAGAGAGCCATGTCAAGTGCAATGATTGCAAGGCCACAGGGAGTGGTGTACACCTGTAGCACTTTTGACTCCCAGATTCAGTGTCACCAGTGAAGCATCTGTCTTGGGGTTCTAGGCTACATGCGTAGTCAGAGCTGTAGGTTCTTGAGCTTGAAAAGTCCTCAGGCCAAGTGGCAGACGACCACGTCTGACTTTGCTCGGTGCCACAGGTCTCTGAACCCCAGTAAGCAAGTTGACGTAAGAGCCGAGCTCCCCAAAGTTCCAAGAACAGGCAAGAAAGCAGAAACGGACCGAGGATTTTGAATGTCCTGCACAGCAACTGCACAGCAACTGCACAGCCAAACCGAAGTAGACTCGCTGTGCTCCCTCTTGCTCACTGAGGTCTCTCAGAAATCTAGATGATCGATCAAACCAGCTTTGATGCTACTTGTAGCTTCACGAGATGTGAGCAAGTCATCCTCCATGCATCCTTGGGAATCATCTTGTAGGACACGCACTTTCCCTGAGATACCTGACAACATGCGACGCCGATGCCGAATGCCATGACAAAACTCAGTCCAGCTTTCCAGGCAAGCCACCAGAAGCAGGAGGGAGACAAGGACAAAGTTCGAACAAGTCGAAGCCAGCAGTGAGGCTGCATGAAGCACAGGGCTACCAATGCCACTCTGTGCGAAGAGCCTCAGGCCGCACATGAGCCAAAGGGTGGTATCAACAGGGCAGCCTCGAGAGTCTTGAGGCCCGCACAGTAAATGAAGTAGCTCGGAAAAACATGCCTTGTAGACACGAGGTACAGTAGCAAGCATTGGCGAGCAGCGGTAGTGACCCACGTCCATTGGAAGTGAAGAGCGAAAGGCAGCTTGCATTGACTGCTTCTGCACACTGCAAGGTCCCGGCCACTAGCTCGACGCAAAGCCCACAAAGAAGAATGCGCGCGAAAGGGTGTGCTGCCTGCATCTTCGATGCTACGGGAGTTGTGAGGTGAGTGCAACATTACGGGAGCTAGCGGGCCTTGCTGCAAGCACTGTCCTCACGTTGTCGAGAAGCCAATATTATGTTTGCTCTCATCTGCAGTACGGCGAGAATGGCGAACACAACCTGGCAACAGAATGACTGGGAACGCTGTTCATCATAGCCGAATAAAAGCTAGTCAAGCAAGGCAGCAGCACACATAACGCCACAAATGCCGGCAAAGCAAAACGCCTGCAGTCTAAACTCTGCGCCTGCAACTTCGAAAACAGCGTTGCTTGAATCTCTGCAGCCTGTCAGTGGAGAACTCTGACGCCCAGCCATACAAGATGTTCTGGGCATGCACCTGCAGCGTGGTCTTGTTGCTTCAGGGGGGTCTGGGAACACGTTTCTTGACCACAAACCTCGTACTCCACATTGCTCACTCCTCGTCCCGAGCAATCTGCAAGAGCTACATACCACCTCGGAAATCAACAGCTAAGCAACTCCACGGACAGCTATGAGGTTTTGCTCATGCTTGCTTGAGACAGCGGCCATCGAGGCCGAATCTTTTCCCTCACCATTGTCTTTATCCTATGGAGCACACTTCGTATCGAGTAGACACACAATAGCCTCTGTACGATGCTTGTCTACACTGTAGCATGCTGCTACACACATCCGTCCTCAAACTTCCACGCACAACTGGCCAACTATTCTTTGCTCGCTGTCGCCGCTCAGCGCACGTCAAAGACTTCCATTCGCCTTGTGTTGGCACACGTTGAGTCAGAGCATGGGCGCCCATCTGCATCAACCCGCCTAAAGGGCCAGGATACGACTCGGCCTGGACAGGAAGAGATGCAGTAGGAGCGATCTCGGATCGCTGAGCTTTTACCTTGAACTGTTGCACAGGCTTCTGCGATGCCTCGTCATCTAGCAACAGGAGGTACACTTCCTCACTGGGTATCGAACAAGCGGAGGCGTTCCTGTAAAAACCTGGGGTTTGCAATTTGAATACAGAATGTAGGAGAGTTTCGTTTTAGAATCTGGAGGACACAGTGTCTTTCCTGCCGGACAGAAAAGGTGAAACGTAGACGTTGAGGATTTCCGATACCAGATTTACCTGATATATCTATTGAGGCAATGAAGGTGCTACCTGAAAGTGGAGGAACGAGATCTTCAATATTGTCTTCTTCTCTAATCCCAAAGAAAAGCTTTCTACTTTACCTTAGAGGAGTTGGGGTTTTGTCCGTTAGAATTCTTGAGGACAACGAAGATTCCTGTTCAAGGAAGTTCCCCGAAGAACATCTAACAGGGATTGTCCAGCAAAGTATTCAGGGAATCAGCATGTTCGGCTGCAATCCAAGGAAGCCGGACGGACCCCCAATGCAATGTAAGACCACTCCAAGGACACACTTCAGGAGCACGGATTGAGGGGCCTGCAGTGTTGAACTTTGTGCCGGAGCCCCGATGACGCATTCGGGGCAGAGAATGCGAAGGGAAGGTTTCCACAGCCGGGCACCCCAGGTCGACTCACTCTTGCACCCACTCACTCAGACTGCCACGTTTTGGATGCCGACCGTCTCGGGCACTTGGAAACACTGAGAGGGTCACCCGTTACGGTTTGGAATGCGCACGGTCCAAGAGCATCAGGGCCCACCGGAAAAACCGAGGAGAAGCTCAGGCCAAATGGGGTTTCGGGTGGCGCCTGAGTGACTCCTGCTACAATGCTTGAACGTTCTGTAAAGTGTTGTGCCTCTGGGGTGCCTTGGCTTTTCGTGTTTTTTGTCGGTTTGCGGTTCAGATTTTTGGTGACACACGTCTTTGATACGGCTCGGTTGGTTAAAGTTTCTTACCAATTTTTTTCGTCCCTCTCGGTGCAGCATGTTCACGTGCTGCGCCTGCCACAGTTTTCGATGAGCGTACTTCTTGCACCTGTCAACCAAGCCCTCAAAACCTACGATCTTGTGACCGTCCGACGACAAGTGTGACAGAATCGGCGTTGGTTTTTTTAGTAGGAGTCTTTCAAGGACGTGTCACCAGTTTTCGAACGGTTTTGATTGTTTGGATGTCTGGGTTCACATCATGCTTTTGGAGACCTCAATCGGATACTGCCAGAAGGGCCCTCGGAAGCTTGCAGTTGTTTTCAAATGAGATGCGTTGGCATAGGGCCAAGTTTACCAAATCAAAGCTTGAAAGGCATGATTTGGCTCCGTTTTTTCTCAAGGCTCCAGCCCACTCTTGCAGGCGAACGGTCCTGGCATGTCCTGACGTAATGGCGTTGTCCTACTTTGTGCCGACTGACTTAGTTGGCCCCGAAACGCAGCTGATTTTCGAAAGATGGTTTGGCTGGTTTGGCTTTGGCTGGTGGGGGAGGTTGGGCAGAGGGGTTTATCATCATCCCGCAAGATCGGAAGATGCTACGCGCGAACGATCCGATCCGAGCTCCTCGTCTGCATTGACGATGGGGAGCTTCACATGAGCCTGACCACTTAAAGTTTGCCGAACATCAAAAATATGACAGGCTCCAGGCAGCATCACAAGAGCAAAGCTGAAACAGCGGGCTCGGCACTGGCTTGCCTCGAGCAATGCAGCTTCGCGATGAGCGAAGCGAGCTGCGTGCGACGCATTGTCAGCAGCAGGCCTATCATGTTCGGAGAAGACCACAGCCAACCAACAAAGCGATCAAGCTGAAGAAAACAGAATCTGTTATCTGATAATCCCAGCAAGTATGCCCAACAGCAGCAGGAGCGCGCGCTCCGAATTCAATAGCAGCTTGAGGTTGTAACAGGCCTGCGCTGACTCTTTCAGCACGGGCTCTTTCGGGTTGTTTTCATGGGTTCTTGAAGCGCGTGGTTGTTTCACGCTCCCTCATGCGAGCACACGCAGCTGACAGTGCTTCCTTTCAAGCTTCCCGCTTGTTGCCTTACGGAGCGTCATCCGTTCGGGGACATGCTCAAACCCACAGGCTGAACCGCAAACGCGCACCGCGTTTTCTGTTTGCCTTAGCCTGTTCGCAAATGTGCTTGGTGCCTTCGTCCGAGCTTCGAATTTGAGCTCGGTCAGCGGTGCCTACTGTCCCACCTGCTCGCTGCGAGCCGTGGGCAGTCGGACGCAAGCAGTTCAGGAGATTCCTCCCGGCCCCACCAAGGCCCTGCAGTCGCCAAGGCCGCTAGAGGGGCCAGCTGATAAGGTTGAGGCTCTGCTTGGCGTGATGCGCACGCTTCACGCTGTGGAAAGCTTCCCGCGCGCAGCAACCATAGTCAAAGACCCTTATCAGCTAAAAGACCTCTCCATATCTCTCTGCCCGAAGATGGAGAACACACGCTAAAGCGCCTACGCTGATCTCTACCAGACAAAGCGGGGTCGATATGACCAAATTTCGTGAAGCGAGGGAAAGAGAGGAACAGCTTGTGCATCCTCCGTCTTCTACTCGTCCATCTGATTTTGCATGCATAATAGCTGGGTTTCAGGGCTGCTGTTGGGGTTGAGGGCTTTAGGGCTGCACCACTTTGACCTGGTTTCCATGTTGGGCCGGCCAGCTGCGGAATATCTTGGCAGGCGCAGATTCCTCCTCAACCCTGGCTACCTCTACCCGTGCACGCGTGGCAAGAAGCAGAAAGAACAAAACAAATGGACAGAAGGAAAACGAACACACACAAGAAAGGAAATCAACAAGCAACCTAAAGATCCCCCTAAGACCAGCCAAACCAAAGAAAGCCACGCACACGTACCCACTGGACATCTGCGGATGCTACTTTACCACCATGGCCTCTCCGGCGGGTTGTAGGACATGCAAAATTTGGTCACGAAGACTGTGCCGTTGGGCGGGATGACCGAAGCACCTGCCATGTACAGAAACTACGGAAACTCCACCAAACAGATTCCCTTCCCACGAAACCTCCAGTGCGCATGGCAAGACTGCCTGCAAACAGCAAGTTTGACGCTCTGACAGATCACGTTCGAATCACTACTGTCGTCCTACACTCAGGCAAAGATCTACACCTCGCATCAAGACATCAAGCATTTGGCAGCACATGGCACTGCTCGAACGTCTTGTGTCCAGGCTGTTCATGGATTTCATGGATTCGCCCTCAAGAGCCCCATTGCTGCACATATTGAGACTGGAAGAGGCCAGCCAACGGCCTGCACGGCGGATCGTCTGGCAAACTAGAGCTTCGCCAAACAACTTGCAGCCTTGCATGCCTTCCTCCACTCGGGTCCGGAGACACGTGGCTACAGGACTCAGGCGAAGCCGCGCATACAGGTGTCGTCGGTTTGGCACTGTGAGGCCAAGAGGCTCATCAGCCCGGGGTCTGAAACCAGACTTCGTTGAAAAGCTCGTGGCGGGGCCCTCCCCACAATTCAAGCTTTGTTTGACCTTGTTAGACCTTGTTAGACCTTGCGGGCGGCTCGGCTCCAAGGGCTTGGGCGGTCGCGGCGCAAAGTTTCTGAAGGTTTAGAAAAAAGCTTCTTCTAAAAGAGCCGACGCAGTGTCAGCTCCGGCCCCCCAGTGCCTGGTAGCAAAAGCAGCCACCTCAACGAAACAACTATGCAACTTGAAAACTTCACAACACTTCCGTCAGAATTCACAGCTACAAGATCTTGCAGAAGAACCGGCTTGAGTCGACGACAGCCATGGCTTCGACATGCTATGACAGCTGCAGGCAGGGGCTGTAGTATCAAAAGGTTAAGGCTGACATGATCCGTGTTTGCGCTGTAACGTCTACTTTATTTGTTAAAAGAGCTACATGGTGGATGTTGCTGGCCTCTCGACCATGTCCTCAGATGAGACCCAGCTTGCTTTTAGGTTTTCCGCTCGCAGCAGCTACACATTTATACGAGCAGAGCCTCCTGGGCCGTGCATTTCCAGGATTTCCCAGCACGGCACTCGAAGGTACAACACATGCACAATACAAACTTGGAAAAATGCATAAAAATGCCGGCAATACCGCGGCGGCTTGCATCTTGGCAGCTACATTGGCTGCTGCTGCCACTGTGTCGGTGCCCGTCGCTTTGGCGGACCTATGTCTTGGCTTCAGAAGAAAACTACATGCGACACTATGTGACACTGCAGTTCATCCGAGGTCACAGCCCATTGTCATCCCGCTGCTTGCCTCTGCCCTTGGCTGGCTTGTCTGGCTCCATCCATGGATCTTTGAACTCCTCCTCCTCCTTGCAAATCTTGTAAGTTGGAGAAGGGCAAGAGGCGTACCGTGCAGACTTGTGATGTGCTGAGTTGGACATGTTCAAGCTCCTCGAAGTCCCCGATCAAGAGATCACTCTTTGCTTGTTGGCGCTCTTGTTGCTGCCTACATCTTCGAAGCAGAGCATGGCCCTGCCACATCAACCATGGCAAGAGTGGTAGCATTGCACCGTCCTGCTCTTCTCCGTGTTATCGTACTTGAAGCTTTTGCCGCCTTGGCAGCATGTAGGCAAACCACTGTTTTGCTATCCCATCCCACCCATTTATAGAACATGCTGGACATAAGCCCCCCTTGTGGTCTATCAAATGTTTGGCGCGAGTATGGCTCAGCTCAGCCAGTGAAGTGTTTCGGTCACTCTTTGGCTGCTTGCTATAGCCTGCTTGCTCTTGTTTGATGTTCATGTCCAACGCTCTGCTTGCGTCTTGCAGTAGTGGACGTACGCGCGGCATACGGCAGACGTCATGGGTCCTGCTGGCAACTTGGGCTCCCGGAGACATCGATGCATCGATGCGACGACACGAACGCCATTTAAATCCGAGCAAGGACTCAATCTCAGGCATCGGTGGAGTAGGGGATCTGTGGCGGGAGACCTTGGAGAAACGTAATTAATTCGCTGCTTCGTATTCGGGCGTACATGGATGACCGCACGATTGCCAACTCTGTAGTCTGGCAACAGGGTTTTGTTCCAGCAGGCCCTCTGTTACACCGAGCATTTTGATGGTCACGTTGGGTCTCAAATCACAAAAGTACGACAAACTGTTGTAGGCTCAGGAGTCAAATCGTGAGATCATGGAACATCTGGGTCTTAAGCATAAACCGTAAACCTGCAGACTCCTCAAACCCTATTCACCCCCGTTGCCCCGAAAAGGCGGTCAACGATACCACCTGTAGGCTGTTCGCTTGAGCTGGCAGGCTTCCCTTCATTCGCCCTCTACCAGATAGGATGCGATGCATTGGCCTGTGGTTAAGAGCAATGCTCCGTCGGATAGTTTCTGGCTAGGTGCGATGGGTGTGGAGTGGTAGGGGCGAGTGCCCGGTGCACATGGTGCAGGCATGCGGGAGTGAGGTAAGGGTGGGGTTGGGGTGCAAAAAAACTTTGCCCAACCCCCCCCCACCCCCACCCCCACCCCCCCCCCCCCCCCCCCCGGACACCCCACCCACCCCCGCCACACCCCACCCCCCGCACCCAAATTAGCATATCTTTTGCAAAATCTAGAAAAAAGCTATTATGCTAGATTGGCCGACTGTTATGCTAATTTGGGCCGATTGGCCCGATTGTCCCCAGTGTCAGTGTCAGTCGCAACGCACGGCTTTGCAGATGAGTACCATTGAAGTCACACTTGGTGGGCTCGGCAGCCTCATTGTACTTCCAAATCTGGTTGGGTTTGTGTTGATGCTGCTCCCGTGTCGCTCCCAAGCTTGGCATTTTCATGTGCCGCCCAGCACCTCATCGGGAAAAGCTCCTCTTTCCCCTTCCCCCTTTGCGGTTACTTTGGGCTTAGGCCCGCACCTCTTAGGCGGTGTCCCTGACAGCCGCTGGTCGTACCACGCTGCCCTTTTCTATCTCTACAAGAGTGCTCGGGGTCAGCACAGCTCTAGCTCAGAATAGCAGTTTCCGTCTGCTGGGCAATGGGCTTGGCTGTGTCGCCGTAGGTTGTGATGCGAGAAATGGGTCAAACTCTGGCCGTCTACAGAGTATTTGCAAGTGGTGGGCTCTTTCCTTCGCTCTGACAAAGTCTGCCATTTCGCCAAGCTTGCTGCACAACTTTGACGGCAAAGGTCTTGGGCTGTCTTGGGCACCACATGACCCTGCATCGCTCCGACACCAGTACGATCCATACATTGCGAGCAGTGCTCGCCCACTGCTCGACAAATAACACTCTCTTTGGGCTCTTGGAACCGGGTCTCCGCATGTCTCCGCCAGGTTGCTTGAAGCACTTTTGACGGTGCACACGGCGGTGCTGCTCTCGAAAATACAAAGTGTTTAAGCATTTGCGAGCCATCTGCGGTCTGCGAGCAGTCCGATGGTGCCCGTGTCTGGAGAAGAAAGTCTGCACCGACCGGGTCCAATACATGACAACTTCAGGAGTTACACATTCCTTCACATTCCTTCACATTCCTTCACATTCCAATCAGGCTCAGAAGAACTCTCCATGTTCCTTGTGTGTTCTCCCTAGGCCCTAGGTCTGATCACACTCGTGCAGCATCAGACTGATGCTCTCCACGCGCACTCCGCACTGCCAAGGCATCTGGCCAAAGCCACCCCAGCGCTTTCGCTTCTGTGCCTGAAAATAATACGAAACAGGGTTTAGCGTTTGGAGGGTCTAGACTTCACATAGGTTCACACATTTCCACAACACATTTTTTTTCAACATGTAGAGCTGAGCTGGCATCCTGGCCAGTGTTCACTGCAGTCTGGTGCTCCTCTCATGACACGAAGTAACACAGTGATCAGATATAGTCCTGCCTTGATGCTGCAAATTGCTGCAATCAGTCCTCGGACAGCGCCTTCAGCTTGTGAGGAACTTCTTGGTTGCACTGTCGCAGGGCATCCACCAGGTCCTGTACAGCCAGCTTTGCTTAAAGCTGCCTATGAATTAAGTCCACTTGAGCTGTATCCTGAGCTCGGTCGGCTTCGTCGGGTTGAATGAAGGTGTACGCAAAGCCAGCCCTGAATGCTGACCCAAAGGCTGTCACCAATATCAGCTTTAGTCACAGTGGTTCTATCATGTTCTATCTGAGTATCTCCCTTTGGCCGCGCACTGCAGTGAGCTTCGCATTCTCTGTGCACAAACCACATGGCATGCATGACGGCATTGCTTTGCTGCAAACACAGTGGCTCGCGGCTAGCATCAACAAACTCAATATACGAGAGGAAGCAGAACCGCTTCTCGGCATCTGCGCACGCAAGCCATATCTCAGCTTCAGACTTTCCAGCACGGCCAGTGCGGCCAATGCGGTGAATGTAGTCTTCTAAGTGGTCAGGGACCTTCCACGAGCATTGACATAGCCGGAGGCCGGACTCATCCGGACCCTACTGACCGGACAAGAAATGCAAGAGCGAAATTCTCAACAAAGCCTTGAAGTTGACAACCAAGATGACGTTCTTGACATCAATGCCTTTCAAAAAATGCCAGGTGGCATTGTGGGAAGGAGCGCTGGAGGAACTCTAGACTGGACATGACTGGACTTAACTTTTGTGTGCTTTGGTGCGCACCTCTCGCGGCAACCGATGTTGCGATGAGGATATTCGATATGCCATCTTTAAAGTCTTGCAGTGTGAAGTCGCGGTCTTGCTGGTCCTTACACAGGATCCCGCAGCATGCCGGGGCGATACGGCGATCCCGCGGCGATCCCGCTTGAGGAAAATTGCCCCTGAAACAATGGGCCTGGCCACCGTGCAGCGCAAGTGGAGGATATCCGTACTTGAGGAGCTCCGTGAACATCTCGTCGACATCCTTCAGAAGCAACAGTGAAAGTGCAAATGCACGATGGCAGTGCATCCTTCTGCTGATGCACGAAGATCATGATTGCACCTGTCGCATGGAATTGCAGAACCCTATTGAGCAAAGGCTGCCCGGCTTGTGGCAGTGACCTTTAAGCTTAGGCTGCCTGGCACCCATTCGCCACTTCCTCCCAGCACCCCGCCAAGACTTTTCCAGGGCTTGGGCCGGGGGGGTGGTCGAATAGCCGTAGCTGTGAAAGATGAAGCACGGAAAACGGTTATTTCTCGGCTGCTGGGTGGCTATCACATAATGGGCGTATAGCACACGGCTTGAACCCATGCATCCTTTGTTGCAGGACTCTTGCCTATGCAGAAGGTTTTGCAGCCGAGGCTACGTGTCTCGGACAGCAGACGTAGATGGCTGACACGGCGCAACGAACTAGTACTGCGCCGGATCACACAGGTCTTCCGGTTTTCGTGGTTTTGGGGTGTTATACGGTGTGACAGCTCATCTGACGGGGCAAAATGCCAAGTGAAGACATGCACACATCAAAAACATATCGAGGAGGTACAAATCAAAGTGTTTACGGCCATGCAAAGCCATGGCTCAACATGCACGGTGTGCTGGAAATAGGATGAAGATCAGAATCAGTCTACAGGCCCAGCCATCACCCACACCGACCCTCTTGTCCACCCCATCAACCTACCCACATGCAAATCAAGACCTTGTGCTCCCTCCAACTTGCACCCCGGGGAGGACAACAAGCTCAGCAAGACAGGCACAGAGGCGGCCGAGCAGGAGCACCGCCTACTAGGCAGAAGTACAGGGAAAGCAGAAGAACTAGAGCGACGTTTACGCCATTGCAAGGTGTGAATCCTTCATGCACCGACGCTGGTAGAGCTTAGTTTCCGTGGGCTGAAAGTGGTAAATGGATTGAAGGTGCAATGCCTCGCAGGGGTGGCTGTGGTGGTTCACCTTGTGTCTTGGAGCCGGACAGCCATGGAGTTCAGGCCGAGCTCGTAAACCCTAAGCCCCGTTCTGGGGCAGACATCGAATTCAGAGTGCGATCTCAAGATTTTGGCTCCCAAGAAGCGCCCTGACCACGGCCCCCAAAACAACCCAAAATCACGGCCCCGGGTCCTGATTTGGGTGAGGGTTAGCCCCTGGCAAGCCCCAAATTGGTGAACATTTTGGGGGTTCCGAAAGCTGCTGGGAGGCAGCTTTCGTGACGACGGCCCCACAACTGAGCAGTTGTTGCTGCTCGGGGTGTTAGATGGTGGCAGCATGCTGGAATGCCCGCGAGGGCCTACGCTGCGCAGCAGCCTGCCCCATTCGCGAATCTACAAGAAGTAGTATGTTTCTGACAACACAGGATACTTGATGAAGAAAAACCCTGAGCTGGAAACATCTGTTAACGGCAGCATCTGGAAGGGATACTGAAGCTGATTGCGCAAGCCAACTCCCAAGCAGTTTAGTGGTTTTGCGCCAACGCAGGCTGCTGCGGCATGCCCACCGTGGCGGCGTGGATGAAAGGCGATGAGTATAGTGCATGGTCACACAGGGGCTTAGAAATGCAGCTCGGTTCAACAACAGCAGCACCGGTTTTGCAAGGAGTGCTGGTGGCGGTTCGACGACGCTCATGAATCATGCATTCAGCAATATGTTGCGACTCTCGTCACTTCGCGAATCATGAAATTCTGAGAAGCCCAAGTACAAACTTGAAAACCTGGCAGGATTCAACAACTTGCAGATGTCTGCACAGCAGAAATCACTACAGAGGGGTGCCCACCGTGCTCATGCCACTCTCCCAAAAGCTGGAGCAGCCGATAGAACTTCTGGCTTTCATCAAGAACCTGCACTGGGTCTCCATTCAACAGCAAGAACAGCATTTCCACATCAAAACCTTTCGACAAGGCCTCAACAAACTGCGTCACGTTGGAAGCAGCGGTATTTTTCTCTCCAACCTTCCACGAGCATCATGCAGCCGAATGTCATCCAAGTCCCTTTTTGATCTTGGCCACAGCTTGGGCCGCCACCGAAATCTCTAAAGGCTTCTTCAAGACCTCAATTGTAAGCACATTTACCGAAAGACGTCCGAGTTCAATTTGAACACGTGTGTCGGCTGCGGCCTTCCTGGCCAATGCTTCCACGTGCGCCGGCAAAGTTGCGCTAAACATGGCAACCTGCACAAAGACAAAAGAGGGAAACCCTAGAACAACGTACTCGGAAGCAAAGACCTGCAGTAAATCAAGTCACAGCACTTGCCTGTTTGTCAGGACGTGTGCTCTGCAAGAACATGCCAATTTGCGGCTCGAACCCCATGTCGAACATACGGTCGGCCTTGTTCGGTGGTCTGGCGATGTCTGGCGCGCGTGCGCGCTGACATAAGCCATTGATTGGGCTGCGTGCCTCGTCCAATACCAAAAAGGTAACCCGCCTCAGGTTCGTGATCTTCCCACCGGAAGTTGTGAGAACCTGCAAACCAGATAGTGATGAATGGCCTTTACAAACTCAAGCCTCAGCAAACTGGGTCGTCAAACACTCAGTGCGCCGCTGGAACATTCAACAAGGTATATACTCCACGTCACTAGGTCACTAAGTGCGCTCTACATGCGATGCATGGTTCACACGAACTGCTGCAACTCAGGATTGCACGTCGATGAGGCGCCCCGGGGTGCCGACAAGAAGCTCAGCTCCTGCATTTGTCCAACAAGCACGGCAACAAAACAACTTCCCCTTCGAAGGGTTTGCATTTGCGAAAGCCCCAGACCGAACGATTCACACGATTCCAAATTTGAAAGAAAACTCAGCGAAGCTGTACTGTTTAGGGACTAGGATCTACGACACACCCCTTAGCCAAGCGTTGCCAGGAGCTCTGACCCCGAAAGATTTCAAATTTGAAAACCCCGCTATCTCTTTCTCTCCCCCTCTCTGCCTGGGAAATGAAAAGCAAAACCAAAGATCGAACTGGCGAAAACCCCAAGCCCAAACCGAGCAAGCCAAATTTATGACGAGGAAACAACACAAACCACCGGCAAAAGAAAAAGAATGGTTCGATCAGCCCCACCCCAAAGCGCACCGACGTGGGAGCCTTCCTGCGGGACTTTTCGCTGTAGAACTCTGTCACGGTTGCCCGCAAGGATACTGTTCGACGTTGGATACTGCAGGGATTCTTTGGACTCTGGGGTTAACGCACCAGGCACGTCGGCGGGATTGAGTGTGGGCACTCCAGGAAGATTCGGCGGGAATCTTTGCAGGCTTCTCTGGGCGTGGACACTCCAAGGATACTCGGCGGGACTCTCTGCAAGCTTCTCCGCAGATAGGCACTTAGGTAAAAGGGTGTTAATTTTGCTTTCTTGTCTCTTCTTCACTTAGCGCTGCAGTATTATTGCTTGGGAGAAATATTACTTTTTTCGTTTAAAGCAAATTTTTCCCGAACGCTCCGCAGAAGGGTTCCCGTTTCAAAGTTGGGTTGGGTGGTTAGTCCGTAAAGCGTTCGCAAAGCGTCCGCAAGCGTTCGCAAAGCGTCCGCAAGCGTCCGCACGCGTTCGCACGCGTTCGCGAGTGGCGTAAGCGTACTGTTAAGGGGGAACTGCACAGGACGCGCACCGACGCGGCGTTCCGTGGCGTTCCGAATCCGTCAAGCTAAGGGGGAACTCCACAGGACGTGGCGTTCCGTAGCGTTCCGAATCCGTCAAGCCACAGGACGTGGCGTTCCGTAGCGTTCCGAATCCGTCAAGCTAAGGGGGAACTCCACAGGACGCGCGCCGATGTGGCGTTTCGTGGCGTTCCGAATCCGTCAAGCTAAGGGGGAACTCCACAGGACTCGCGCCGCCGTGGCGTTCCACGTGGCGTTCCGCGGGGGAACTCCTGCAGGGCACGATTCTCGGGGCGTTCCACGTGGCGGTGTTCCCAATCCGTCAAGCTAAGGGGAACTCCACAGGATGCGCGCCCCTGGCCCCGTGGCGGTGGTCCCGTGGTGGTGGTCCCGTGGTGGTGGTGCCGGGGTGGTGGTGCAGGGGTTGTGGTCCCATGGTGTGGTCCCGTGGTGGTGGTCCCGTGGTGGTGGTCCCATGGTGGTGGTCCGTGGTGGTGGTTTCGTGGTGGTGGTCCCATGGCGTGGTCCCGTGGTGGTGGTCCCGTGGTGGTGGTCCCGTGGTGGTGGTCCCGTGGTGGTGGTCCCGTGGTGGTGGTCCCGTGGTGGTGGTTCCGTGGTGGTGGTTCCGTGGTGTGGTGGTCCCGTGGTGGTGGTGGTGGTGGTCCCGTGGTGGTGTGGTCCCGTGGTGGTGGTCGTGGTGGTGGTCCCAGGTCGTGGTCCGTGGTGGTGGTCCCGTGGTGGTGGTTCCGTGGTGTGGTCCCGTGGTGGTGGTCCCGTGGTGGTCGTCCGTGGTGGTGGTCCCGTGAAGGTGGTCCGTGGTGGTGGTCCGTGGTGGTGGTCCGTGGTGGTGGTCCGTGGTGGTGGTCCGTGGTGGTGGTCCGTCCGCCCGCCGCCGACGTTTCGTTTATATTGCGTTATATTTACTTTATAGGTGACTGCTTTCTGCATTCGGGTTCGTGCATCCTATCAGGTTTTGAAAATGAAAATCACAAGAGAATCAAGTAAGTGCAGAACAAATCTGAAACAAGTAACTGTTCAGATGGAATCTGAGAGGATGACATTTTCCAATCCAATTTAAATGAATTTGGTTCATTTTAAAGGAAACAGAATGCATGAAACTCACCAAAATGATACTTGTATTCTTACTTGAATCAGAAAACAATACTACTCATTGTTGATCCTTAATGTTTTTTGTTGTTCTCTGTTTTTCTCTGCTTGTTGCTGTGTGTCGTTGTTTGTTGCGGCTTGATGTTTGCTGTTGCTGGCTTGGTGTTGCTTGTTGGTGCTCGTTGTTGGTTGTTGTGTGTTGTTTGCCTGCCGCCCTTTTTCCAAGCGGAGGGGTTAGGGCATAAAAGAGCGCAGAGCAGCTTGGCCGTGAAATGCTCATATGACTGGGTTTGAAACAGGAGGAGGTCCTTCGTAGCAAGTTTTGCAAAGGAGGCGCACCCCCCGATTTGCAAATACAATGCTCGTACGGTTTGGAAAGAAAAGGCTTCTCATGGTTTTTGAAGCAACTGTTTCTGATCCTTTACGTGCGCCTTGTACGATTGGAAGGCATGGAGGGCGCGGACGGCGTGAAACCCATGGAGGGCGCAGAGGTCAGGGCTTGGGGGTTCGGATGGTCCGGATGGCCTGGATGGTTTGGAGTTGGATGGTTTGGATGGTTTTTGGAGTTGGAGGGTGTGGAAGGAACTTAGGGCATGGAAGGAGAACAGCATGGACATGCTGGAAGCTCATCAATTTTGACAAGCCACGTTTTTTCCTCGACAAACGCATGATGAACTAGAGCACTGTAACTGCAACGGCAAGATGCGAGACACCTCACAAAGACAAACCGCAGAGCAGACGCACGGGTTCAAACCCTCCATTTGCAAACGCAATGAGCGTATGAAGGGCTTGGCTTTGGAAACACTGTGTTTTGAAGCAACTCCTTTTGATGGCGAGAGAGTTGGCCGGGGGGGAACCAAACGGCTTAGGGAGCCTTAACCCGACGTTCCGCGAACAACATGAATCGCTAAAGGGGAACCGCAAGAGGAAGCCAAACAGGTACGGCAAGCAAAGCACCCTTTCGCTGAAGTAAGATATCGATGCTTCCGCGATCACTCGTGAGTTTCACACGCCCATGCTGTACAAACTTCACAGATCTTCACAGTATGAAGGAGGCTAGCTAAGCGACACGGGTTCATGTGTCTTGTGCCCACTAGCTAGATTCAAAATTTTCGTTCGTTCCCTTCAGCTTCATTCCCTAAACATGACACCTCCATACTCCTGAACAACAATACCCTGAACGATCCTGCAAAAACCCTTCACAAATAAACTTCTGGGCTGTTTGGAAGCATTCAACATATTTCAAAATCTGGGGAAGTTGTTGGCATGTTCATTTCCGGTCTTCCAGCTGGTCTAGGGCCAACTCCGGCAATCATGCACAACTGACAACGAAAAGATCGCTCGAGCGAGCATCTCAGCTACCCCCATTCAAACTGCCCCCCATTGAAACTGACCCTGTACTGCCGTGTACCGCCTTACCGCCTTACCTTACCCCCCTGTTGCTCCGCTCTTCACAAAGACTGCCGGCTGGCCTTTTTTCAAAGCAGAGAGCTGCTCACCCATCGGCCCGCCACCATACGCACAAACACTGATCAGGTGCACAGCCTCGCGGCATTCGTGGCGTACGGAAAGTCTCAGAAGGCAAAGGCTTTCTGCCACATGTTATCGTGCTGCCAAGCATCCTTGCAGAAAGTGTTCGCTTCTCGCTGGATTTGCAATGCAAGTTCACGCGTAGGCGCAACCTTCGGGCAACGTCAAGAATTCATTCAGACGACAAAGGGTCCCACACTGAGCTTGCTGTTATGTTGATGAATAAGATAGGCGACACAGTTTATCATTGAAGCTGTGCAATTGTGTGGTTGGACATCATTTGTAAGCAGGGTCTTTTGCCTAAGCAAACTCTCTCCCATTCAAGATCTTCACATCAGAGAACTCAGGCTGACTCTCGGCCTGTTGGCTTGCAGAGATGAATCTGAGGTCGACACCACAAATCCGACTGGGCCATCGCCATTTCCCAGCTTCGGCTGGTCCAAGATGTGCCTGAAAGACCCATGTCTCTGCTACATAAGCTCTAGCATTGGTTATTGGGCGATGCCTGATCAGCGGGAGCAAGTACGCGAGGGTCTTGCCAGAACCTGTTTGGGCCACACCTTGCTTCCACGAACAGGTAGCGTGTACGCTTGGAAATCAACGGCAAGGAGGTGATCAGTCGAAGAATCGCCAGGCCTATGACGTCCCTGCCACACATCAATGCTGGGATTGCCTGAAAAGGTTGAGGACATGATAGGCCAGGCTACATCCGCAACATGTTTTCATTGTCACACATGTCATGACATCAGGCACCTGCATTTGAATCGGGAAAGGTTTTTCGAAATCTCTTTTCTCCATGATCTTCATGATCTTGTTTGGTAGCCCACACCTGCTGTAGCTTCAGGAAAGCTGGGTCATGCACCGCACATTGAATTTCGACTCTGAGGAAGTCACTGCAAGAAGCTTGTGACGGGATGCGGACACCGCCTCGGTGTCACTAGCATGCGCCTGCGATCTACGCACCAGTAAAAATGTTCAGAAGCTCACACCATCACAGGTCTGTGATCGTGGCTTCCCCCTGACTGTGATGTCACCATGTGTTCTGCGGAGGTCTGCAACCTGCGTTCATTCTCATGTCCTGGGCATCAACTGAAGCAGCAGCCACCTCGTGATCTTTCATGTTGGTGATTTCTTTAACCTGCAGCTGCGCACAATGATGTATTTGGAATTCCTGCGGCCATCATTACAGCAGCGCAGCCAGACCTGTACGTACAAGTTCTTCCGAAAAGGTTTGTAGTCAATCTTGTCATGGTCCACCTGCCACTTGTGGCAAGCCGGAACTCATCGGGCCGCTTTGTAATCAGAAGTCCAGAGGACGGAAGCACATGAAAACAGCATTTTTCAATCCCACCCTACTAGTGCTCTCAACGGATTGCACGCTGCCCTTAGCGCTGATCGTGTGTGCCTTGACACGCAATTGCAAGAAGTCAGGTATAGTCAGGTCAAACTCCTCAGGGGATCGCACGCCGACGTGGCAAAACGCCGGCCCAAGATGCATACGGGGCGCCCGGGGAGAGCAGGTGCTGAAGCCGAAGCCGAATTACGCTGCACTGTGATGCCGCAGTGTCTGACGCCGGTGACGCCGAATTATGCCTTGACGTTTTACTATGGAGTCAAGAGTCAAGCCGAATTACCCTCTGACTCCCCGGATTGTGACGGGGCATGTCGGCGGCAGCATTCGGCAGCCCAGCTTTGCCGTGTCGGCGCATTTCTTTTGCATGTCGGCGCGTACATTTGGGCATGTCGGCACGTGCTTTTTGCACGTGGGCGGGTCGTTTCTTCAAATTGTTCACTTCCACATTCGCCCAACTCCCTCTCCCTCATTCTTCCTGAGTTTCTCCAGTTCCTCGAGTTCTTCATGGAACCCTTTCCTTTCTCTTCAAGTCTGTCGGGGCGCATTTCTTTTCATCTCAACGCTCATGTTTTGCATGTCGGCAAGTACTTTTGGCATGTCAGCGTGCACTTTTTGGCACGTCGGCGGGTCGAGTTTTCATTTCTTCACTTGCCAATTCGCCCAACTCCCTCTCCCCCATTCCTCCTGAATTCCTTGAATTCCTCGTAGAAACCTCACCATTCTATTTTGCATGTCGGCGGAATTATTTTTGTGCCACGTCGGCACGTACTTTTTGCATGAGGGCACGTGCACGTGTTGTTTGATTGTCGACGGAAGCTTTGTTTTTGGCATGTCGGAGAGGGTTTTTGCGATGTCCGTGCGCGCTTTGGGCATGTCGGCGGCAGCCAAGCCAAGACTTGCCATGTCGGCGCGTGTTTTTTGGCATGTCGGCGGATGCCCAGGCGGAAAATCTGTATCGGCGCGATGGTTGACATGCCGGCGCGTGGCATCCGCAAATCCCTGGCACGCCTGCGCTTTGGAAGAGTACAGACCTCCGAAATGCCTATCCCAGCTCAGTCTTCCCGTAGAAATCTGGCCCACGCACCCATAGGAATACATGCCAGCGTTGCTGTTGGCAGAGTTTTCTTGGTGGTGAACCGCTTGACCAAGTCAAAGTAGGACTCCATCTGCTCTTCGCTGGACTGCTCGCTCCTGCACTTCATGTGACAGCAAAAATGCTAGCATGATCTCTTGAAGAAGCACATACATCATGTTCGGCATGGTAAATGTCCTCAACATCTACATACTTTTAGTCTGCCATTATGTTTGTAGCACCTGTACCTGTCCATAGTAGCCTTAGTGACGGTCTGTTTTCCCATCCTTCCAGCATCCTTCCAAGTTCCTTCGGCATGATTGAAGACTGATATGCTAGAGATGCAAGACCAAGCCGACCAATTCCTAAACCCAAACCTGAATTTGCATACATATAATCATAGATGGATATGTATGTGTATATATATCTATATGCGCAACTATGCGTACACGTATATGTTTAAGTGTATATACAATAACCCCCGTTGTTGTTTACGTATGTTGTTGGAAGAAGCTAACTTAAACAATGGAATCCCGTTGTTAATGAATTACGTTGAAAAGTTACAAGATGTTTGGTATGTATACGTATACTTCTACATCCACAATACACATTGATGTGCAAACAAACCGTTGCTTAAATATTCTTGTATTACAGATGTATGATATACATTGTTGGTTCGGTCGTCACATCGCAGCACACAAGGCGTCTTCAAATAGTTACTCTGTCTCATCAGTATGAAAGGAGTCAGGCATGGACAGATGCTTTTAGCACTGCACAGAAGGTTGCACAACATGCTTTGCTTCAATTGCACCTTCCCAGGATGCCACAAGTGATAGCGTCAAGTTGTCGGCCTAACCTGGAAACTAGGCTGAGCCGCGTTGGACTCAGATGGCCACTGCGTATTGCCACATATTGCCACGTAGATGGTACCCGACTTCTCTGAGGAATGTTGCATGGGGCCGTGCCTGTCAGGATCGCTTTCCATCCAGTCTCCATCACCTTCACCAAAACCTTCTCGAGCACGCTTCTTCGCAGCTTCTGCTTTAGCCTCGTAGTATGGAAGAGGGGTAGCAGATTCCCAGTCCAAGCACTGGCAGGAAAGGTCGAGACGTCTTCAAAAAGCAGTTCACACAGCAAAAGCTCTCTTGTCTTGGCTTCCGGTGGTGTATGGTGTAGAGTGTTGACCAACGCTAGGCAGTACCAAAGTCGATCAACTTGTCAGTTTCAAGCACTGAACCTAGTGGCACATAGTGACAAAAGACGGCACCTTCCAAACTTTTTCGTACCTATTTCATCGCTTTGTTCAGCGGATTCTAAAAAAGAGACGCCCTTCAAAACGGTGATTGATTCAATTCGTTGGACCCTTCCAAAGTGAATCGAAAGATGAAGAATGATTGCGCGAGCGGCTTCGTGAAGCTTGCTGGGCGGCATGCAACGTAGGTGCGCCATGCCCAAGCACCAAATCTGACGCTAGAGATAGCATCCTGATATGACAGCCTTGCGTAGATGACAGCGATTGGCCGACAGGCTTTCTTTTACCTGATCATTCCTCTGGTTCGTCGGTTTTCTCTTGTTTTCGGGTCTCTTTCCGCTGGTTTGTCGGAGGTGAGGGGGGGGTTGGAGGGTCGGGAGCGTTCTTGCCTCTTTGCACAAGAAGCAGCGCCCAAAAATGCGAGAAACTGGGCCCCCTGTTCTACCACCCCCTTGCGAAGCTTCAAGCAAAAACGTGCCTAAGCGCAGTCCCTTACCACTCTTGCAGAGTGACAGCCCCCCCACCCTGTTGCATGGGACTCTTCCTCTTCCCTGGGACCGCTGCACGTTCACTGGAAGATCACTTCGTCTCCACATACTGCACCCTGCTCTGGGCCGGCCCGGCTGCCGAGGCGGCGCGCTAACAGTGAAGGCCCAAAACCCTGAAGTCACCAAAGCACTTCTGCAGGAGCTTGACACGGTGCTTTTAGAGGAAATTCCGCGCCTGCCACTAAATCCGACCTTGTCAGGTTAGCAAACAACCAGGGAAAATGAAGCGCAACCCAGCAGCTAGCTGCTGGACGTGCAAGGTTTGACAACAAGAGAGGCATTGCAATGAAAAGCTGGTGGTCGTCGTCTGGGAGCACATTCAAGGGTTAAAGACCGCAAGACGGGGTGACAACGACTCAGAAAGCAAGCGTTGGGGAAGCCTGATGCTGCATGAGTGTGTGTGTGTGTGTGTCTGTGGGAGTCTATAAGCTGATGTTGCAAAGTAGGCATGCAATGGCTATGGCGGTCAAGAAGTACCATCATGACCCATGACTTTGGGGTCGCCTTTGCATGCAGCGTGTGATTTTTGGGGTAGTTGAAGCAGCCACAATACCTGGACTTTGGCTGTGCAAATGCAGAGGTGCTTACCTTGGCTTCGGCTTCCTTTGCTTCCCGCCGCTTTCGCCGCTTCTCCTGTAGTGAATCTCGGTGTCAACGCACTGGCAACAGGCCAGTTTAGCAACTGAGTTGTGCACCTTCTTCGTTTCTACAATCTTCACCCCCTGGTAGGCTCGTGAACAACATGACTTGATCCCCTGCCGCGCTCCGTAGTTACAAAGCTTTCCGCGTGGCTGAGCACGGCAGCGCCTCGGCGGCAGTTTCCTGCATCGGTGTGTCCGTTACCACCTCAGTCGGCGTGGCTGTTCAAACGACTGCCAAGCGAAGGCAAAATGTGATCGAGCCTCGTCAGCCTCATCCCCCTTCACCGAAGGACTGGATGTTGGTGTCTCAACAAAAACAGGGGATAATCGCCCGCCTCCTCATTATCTTCCGCCTCATCATCGGCTTCTTCTTCTTCTGCATTCTGACCTGGCATTGTGCTCGCAGAAGCTTGAAGAGATCAGAAGCATACGCGCCAACATGAAGAATGAACCTTCAACGTCTTCTAGGCGTCGTTTAGCCTGATTGCAAAACGGCATTGCGAAACAGCGAATGACGAAAGAAAGCATGGCCCAGCAACATGTGTCGCAGGGCCTTGCGAGAACGACGGAAGTCGGACAAGGCCTGGGCAGATCTCGCACGCATGTCTCTTCATGCCTCTTGGTGTGTTCACTGCAATTCTCACATCCACGTATGCAAAAACCGAGAATGGAAATTGAGGGGGGCGCCTTACTGCCTCCCCCCACAACGGGGCGCAATATGGTGCAACCCCCTGGATTCCGTTTATTCTCCCATCAACCGATGACAAAGGTGGAATCTAGGGGGTCCACCCCTGGAATCATGTATCCCATCTCGGGAACACAACAAAATACTACGGGGGCTGCCCGGAAGCGGAGGGAGGACAGCTCGGGGCAGTTGTCCAAAACCTCTGTGCGGTTGTTTTGCTCTCAATGCATATAAACCCTTCTGAAACATTCTAGGCAAACTGGTGTGTCACTTTAGGTGCGTTGCTATGTGAGCGCAAATCTCCAGACGGATGCTGAATTGTGCGTCGATGTCTCTGCCTTATTTGGACCTTTAGTTACAGAAAGCATCTTCCCGGTCCTGTGACCTCTTCAAGACTACTCCGATGGTTTTTATCTCTGTACCAAATCTTTGCACAAGGCAAGGTCCAGAGCACGTGCAGCCACAGCGGGGTTGTGTGAAGGACCTTTCCCGAATCCGTAAACCCTCAATAAACCCTGACATTCAACCGCTAAGCCGGTGCCCACGCACGTGCTAAACCCCTCCCAACAAGAAACTCTAAGCCCTAAAGCTCAAAGCATCAGCACACACGGGGCACGGGGGTGGGGGGGGTGGCATCCTTATTTGCAGCATGTAAAAGCCACGCACACGTTGCATTCCGTTGAAGCAAGCAAGGCCCTGGCTCCGCTAGCTGCGCCGACTCCACCGACAGCGGCACTGTGACTCTTCTCCTGTTGGAAACGTCGTTTCCAGATCAACACGACAAATCTTGGTTTACGTAACTTCCAATTGCGTTGCTCTTTGCATTTGAGGGTCCTACAAGTAGCCATTCTCCTAGCGATCGTTCTGACATGGACTTTGCATGTCGTACAGAAACCTGTGGGCCTCATCAGCATTACCTTTCTGGCAAAATGCATGCCAAGCCAGTTTTCAGATGACCCCACGCTGCAGAAAATTGACTGATAAACCTGATGGACGCGCAAACGACGTGTACCACAAACGTTACACTGTTCACTGTTCAGTATGTTCAATGTCCACAAGTTGTTGGTCTGCGACCAGCTTCAAGATGAGCGGTGGAGCGACGTGAGGTGAGCTGGTGCCAAAATAAAAATCGGTGGCCATGCGACAGCGAATAAGGCCCTGGCTCCACTGGCTTCGCCGACTCCACCGACGGCACTGTGGCTCTGCTCCTTCTGGAAACATCGTTTCCAGATCAAAACAAGCGAACCAGCAGGACCGCCTCTGAGTTTTCATTACTTCCGATGCTCTTTGTATTGAAGGTGCTACAAGCACTATATAAGTCACTAGGTTTGTCTCGAACCACCCGGCTTAAAGTCAACCCAAGTCACCACAGGCGGAGTTATGTCAGCCCAACAATAGCCGCCGACTGGGGGCATTGGGATACCTTGAAACCAAACCCCCCTTGCTGGCTCGAGATATGGGTCGAGATTGCTTCCCCTGCATGGGCCCTGACCGTTTAAGGCATCTCAACCCACTGTGCACAGCTCCTGCCGCATTTTTTCTAGAAGGGGGGAAAAAAAAAGCCACGACTTTCCCGGCAGGGTCGAATTAAATAATTAAACCTAGCACTATCGCCTTTTTCCTGGTGATCGTTGGGGCATGTCGCAAGAATAGGCACCTGTGGCCCGAATCCTGAGGGCCTCATAAGCATTACCTTTCTGCCAACATGCATGCCAAGTACGCTGCAGAAAATTGACTGATGAACCTGATGGACGCGCAAACGACGTGTACCACAAACGTTACACTGTTCACTGTTCAGTATGTTCAATGTCCACAAGTTGTTGGTCTGCGACCAGCTTCAAGATGAGCGGTGGAGCGACGTGAGGTGAGCTGGTGCCAAAATAAAAATCGGTGGCCATGCGACAGCGAATAAGGCCCTGGCTCCACTGGCTTCGCCGACTCCACCGACGGCACTGTGGCTCTGCTCCTTCTGGAAACATCGTTTCCAGATCAAAACAAGCGAACCAGCAGGACCGCCTCTTAGTTTTCATTACTTCCGATGCTCTTTGTATTGAAGGTGCTACAAGCACTATATAAGTCACTAGGTTTGTCTCGAACCACCCGGCTTAAAGTCAACCCAAGTCACCACAGGCGGAGTTATGTCAGCCCAACAATAGCCGCCGACTGGGGGCATTGGGATACCTTGAAACCAAACCCCCCTTGCTGGCTCGAGATATGGGTCGAGATTGCTTCCCCTGCATGGGCCCTGACCGTTTAAGGCATCTCAACCCACTGTGCACAGCTCCTGCCGCATTTTTTCTAGAAGGGGGGAAAAAAAAAGCCACGACTTTCCCGGCAGGGTCGAATTAAATAATTAAACCTAGCACTATCGCCTTTTCCCTGGTGATCGTTGGGGCATGTCGCAAGAATAGGCACCTGTGGCCCGAATCCTGTGGGCCTCATAAGCATTACCTTTCTGCCAACATGCATGCCAAGTACGCTGCAGAAAACTGACTGATGAACCTGATGGACGCGCAAACGACGTGTACCACAAACGTTACACTGTTCACTGTTCAGTATGTTCAATGTCCACAAGTTGTTGGTCTGCGACCAGCTTCAAGATGAGCGGTGGAGCGACGTGAGCTGGTGCCAAAATAAAAATCGGTGGCCATGCGACAGCGAATAAGGCCCTGGCTCCACTGGCTTCGCCGACTCCACCGACGGCACTGTGGCTCTGCTCCTTCTGGAAACATCGTTTCCAGATCAAAACAAGCGAACCAGCAGGACCGCCTCTGAGTTTCATTACTTCCGATGCTCTTTGTATTGAAGGTGCTACAAGCACTATATAAGTCACTAGGTTTGTCTCGAACCACCCGGCTTAAAGTCAACCCAAGTCACCACAGGCGGAGTTATGTCAGCCCAACAATAGCCGCCGACTGGGGGCTTTGGGATACCTTGAAACCAACCCCCCCTTGCTGGCTCGAGATATGGGTCGAGATTGCTTCCCTGCATGGGCCCTGACCGTTTAAGGCATCTCAACCCACTGTGCACAGCTCCTGCTGCATTTTTTGTAGAAGGGGGGAAAAAAAAAGCCACGACTTTCCCGGCAGGGTCGAATTAAATAATTAAACCTAGCACTATCGCCTTTTCCCTGGTGATCGTTGGGGCATGTCGCAAGAATAGGCACCTGTGGCCCGAATCCTGTGGGCCTCATAAGCATTACCTTTCTGCCAACATGCATGCCAAGTACGCTGCAGAAAACTGACTGATGAACCTGATGGACGCGCAAACGACGTGTACCACAAACGTTACACTGTTCACTGTTCAGTATGTTCAATGTCCACAAGTTGTTGGTCTGCGACCAGCTTCAAGATGAGCGGTGGAGCGACGTGAGGTGAGCTGGTGCCAAAATAAAAATCGGTGGCCATGCGACAGCGAATAAGGCCCTGGCTCCACTGGCTTCGCCGACTCCACCGACGGCACTGTGGCTCTGCTCCTTCTGGAAACATCGTTTCCAGATCAAAAAAAGCGAACCAGCAGGACCGCCTCTGAGTTTTCATTACTTCCGATTGAGTTGCTCTTTGCATCGAGTGTCCCAGTCCATTTCCTAATGATCGCTGTGGCATGGACTTTGCATGTCGCAAACAGCATGGGCACCTGTCCCCAGAATCCCGTGGGCCTCATAAGCAATACCTTTCTGCTCAAACGCACGCCAAGCCAGTTTCACATAACCCCACGCTGCAGAGAATTGACTGATGAACCTGCTGGATGCGCAAACAACTTCTTGCAGAGTTTTCAACTACAACACAGGCCCCTGCCCTGCGAAGCACGAGGCCGTATGTGCCATTCACTATGTCCGGTGGCGTCGCCCAAGTTGCAATGCTGTTCCAACCCAGGCTGTGATTGTTTCCTCTTCTTCCTCTTCGACGCAAGGAGAACCAGAGAGAGGGTGAGAAACAGCAACACATGTCAGAAGTGTGCAGCTTCAGAAGTGTGTAGGAAATGCGTAAGAATAATATCAAATTCTCCCAATCTCCTGTTGCACGGTCCTCCTTCTTTTCAATATGGAAGCATACCCTTTGATGACATTCTCGGATCTTCCGCACCAAAATCTCACTTGAAACTTTGATTCTCCGTCAACACTGCGTCCATGCCTGGCTGATGTGATGGCAAATTCGACACCATATTGAAAAAACCACGAAAAACCCTCCAAGTTTTGCCATTTTCTGATGAACACTGCAACGGCCACTTTGAAGAATCACATGCAGTTCTCGAAGTTCGGACGAAAAGTTTCGCGCTTAGTTCCAAGCCTGTTCGAGTTTTCACGACAACCTGGAACGTTTCGTCCAAACATTTTCTATGGACACGCCCTGTCACGCCCTCATGTAAGAGTTTGTAGACCTGGGAAAAAGCTGGCGAAACTGAGCCGCGCACGGTGAACGTGCTCAGCTGGTCGTCAACCTCCCGACACACAGGCGCACGGTCAAACACGCTCACACACACATACACACACAACCAGAACCGTCTCACCTCTGCGTATGTGTGTGTGTGTGTCTGTGTGCGCATTTGTGTACGGGCACCTTGACGCCGCGCGGTTTGACTTGGCCGTACTTGGCCAACGTCATAGGTGTCACTGCTCTGTTGGTGGCTGGGCACGTTGAGGTCGCGCAATCATCGACATCAAAAATGGAACGCAACATGGTACTCCTCACGTGGTCCCATCCGGGAACTGCCGGTGCTGAGTGACCCATCATTAAAACCATGCGAGTTGGACGGTCAGCGGAGCGAACGGCACCGGTGCGCCTAATATGCTCTCCTCGGAGAGCTCCGAATGTAGATTCGTAGATTTCCAGAACCACGGCGCACCTCTATGTGCATTTTGGGCATGCCCAGCGTGGCCCTGCACCTAATCTTGCGGGATGTCTGAGCGTGCTATTGTCAGCTCAATAGCCACTCAACGGGACATTCTTTGTCCCAGCACTACATGCGTTTGCAGCTTTGTTCACTGTCTGCTTTTCACGTACTGTAGCTTGACATTGGATGCCTCTTCTGGACATTGAGGGAGCTGACATTTCGGAGCAGAACGGACCTGATCCGACAGATGTACCGTTGCCTTTCATTGTCAGGAAACAACAAACAAGAAATGCACACACCATTTCAGCCTTTTGACAATACGGGGCCAAAGATTTCAAGTGCCAGATCTCCTATTCCGGTCTCTTCGAACTTTTGTTGACAACCAGTGGACAGAATGCGGAGACGATGATGTTTCTTTGAAGCGTTCGTGCTGGTCACTTCCCCAGGAAAAATTGGTGTGACAAGCAAGTCTCCAGTTGGAGACATATCAGCTGTCACACTGATCAGAACAGATACTACACTTGATCAATGCCAAAAAAGGCCGAAAAGATATGCTCTGTACCAGGCAGTCATAGTGCCTGCAAGCTTCAACACCCATCAACATCCCTGCCAATCCAGATTCCTGGCTAACGAGCGAAACACCAGAGAAACAGTTTGTCCAGACATTCGTCCAGTCGTTTGCCTTACCGTTACCGATTCTTTATAATCTTCTACCTCATCGGGTGCTTGACCGATTCATCTTTGCCCACTTTTCCTCTCAGACGCAGAGACGACGACAAAATTCGTTCGATGTTCCAGACAATCTCTCTGGTCGGTTCAGCCGTACATAGGAGCCACCAAGACCACAGTGTGAGGACGAAAGGCTGCTCGTCGTACCTGGGTGCTTTCATCATTAAAACGACTGCATTGGAAGGCTCATTTGCCGGGCAGATTCGAGCATGCGAAGAGACTAACTGGGCCGACAGCAGTTGAAGCACGAGCGGGCGCATAAGGGCTTGCAAGTGCAAGAAGAGTTGGCTCTTACATCTGCTAATCATATTCCTGCCTAAGCCCCAAAACCTTTCGAGACTTCAAAGAGCGTCGCCGTTCTAGTTGCAGCTTTCCGGTCACTGAATTACAAGAAGAGATGTGTCCCCCGAAAAAGATTGTGTCGGTTGTGTGCGTATACACCCTGATTCCATGCTAGGGGACGGGATGTTCACTTGCCAGGTTTCCTACACCAGAACTTGTTTCAGACCTTTTGCTGCGTCAAGCTCTGTTGGTTTTCCAGAGCACAAGGCACGGGTGCTTTCTCTGAGAAATAATCTCTCCCACGTACCTGCGCATGTTGCGTTTCGATGTGTTTGGCATTCGACATGTTTTGACCTAGGTGACCTTACAATCATCGACACCCTCAATACGAAACTCGACAGACTGGAATACAACCTGAGTACTCCGTGTGCGAGCGCAATCTTAGAGACAGAGAAAGTGGGAGAGAGACAGATACTATACATTATACATGTATATATATATATATATATAATACGCATACACACGTGTGATTTTTACATTCGAGCTGTGTTGCCTCTTCTCCCGATGCCGCTGAGGCCGGAGAACCTAGAGCTCAAACGACCATCAGGTTTGTCATGAGTCAAAGGAACAGCCCCAGACTTTAGCATGTTGGCGTTGCAAAAGCACAAGCCCGGCACCGCCGGCAGCCGCAGAGGCACACAGTGCGGCACACATCCATCCGAGACCATCCGCGAGCTCATATCAGATGCAAGGGAGGAGGAAAAGCGGTCTTCTAACTGGGCAGCGTAAGGCTTTCTCCGACTTCCTGATTCGTGTTGACTCTCACAAGGTCAAGCCTGCCATGTGCAGTCCATGTGCAACTGATTGCAGTGACGGAGCTTCGAGCCTCCAGGACTCCGGCATTCAAAGTGCCATGTAGAGGCTCGAGGACATGCTTGAAAACGTGTCTGATCTGGACAAGCCAGCACAACCAGGTCCAATTTGGACGGGCGGGTCAATCTGGTCATAGGTATGTCATAGGTGATCACGGCCGGCTCTAAGTCTACATTTCTGAGCTCGGGCCGGCTGGGTCCAGGTGGAGCCTAGCCATGCACAACAGCTACAACTTGCGCAGTTTTCCACCTTTGTCGGTGTCACTACAAGGAAAAGTTTTCAATTCGATGATGACCCTACTGGGGCAAGATGACCTTGCACCTAACAGGCTGACAATGTATGACACCATTAGCCGCAGCGAGGAGGCCGGCACGTTCACGTAAACGAGTCACGCAACTTCCTAAGCGACGTGCTTCGCGTCACAGACTGCGGGTGTGAAGTCCCTACTTGTTTTGTCCTCATTGAGCTTGGTTGCTCACGGGACCGACCAACCCAGCAAATCATAAGCTGACAGCTTTGGTCAACTCATTTACCAAGTCTCGACGTTATCTACCCACAACGGTTGATTCCTCTGCCACCACAATCACATCCCAAAGGAGCGTGTGCTAGCAGAGTCTTCTTCGATACGCTTCATGCGATGCCGCTCAATCACACGCTGCATGCCATCAAGGCCTCGCTGCACCTCCTGGGAAGATGAGGCGAGAAGCTGGCTCGTTTCGTTGTACTGTGACCGTCACTCCTTGAAACTTGGCCCATAGGAGAGCCGGATGAAGGAGTCGTAGCTGTTGAACTTCCTGCCAGACAGCTGCCTACAGGAACGTAACAAGAGAAAGCAAGATTTGCAGCTGTTGACTGCACTTTCCTGCGACTTCCTGGATTCACATCGAAGAAAACGCCCGGTGTGATAATGACCTCAACAAAGAAACGCCCCAACAAACACACGTGAAATACTGGTCCAAACGAAGTCTGCGCACTCTGGACTCCGGCAAACTCCGGCACTGGTTTCTCTGTCCGATGCCTTCTCGCGCAGCAACTCGCGGAAGAAGCCCCAGCCTCAAAGCTTGGCAAGGCCGGCACGGCCGGCACGGCCGACACAGCCGGCAAGGCTCTCAGCTCCAGTGCTCCAGTGACTTTTTCTTGGGCACCAGGCACTTATTCAAGGGAGCAGGCAGGTTGGAGATGTCGCACCAACAATAGAACGTACCCTGAAAGAAGCACTGAGTCAGAAAGCACAGCCATCGCTGCCAGAGGCCCTCCCCCCAGGCATGTGGCCATATGGCCATGGCCATGGCCTGCGGCGGTTGTTCCACAACGATGCCCATGTCCTGGACACAAAGTTTCGGAGAGCTTGGCCAGGGACGTGTTTCGGGTTTGGGACACTTCCTGCAGCCTTCGAAGAAGGAAGTCCCGCTTATGACTGAAAAGCACCTGCCAGGAAGTGTCAGCAACGGCAACGGAACACTCGTAAACCCAGCCTGAAGCATGATTGTCTGCTCAATGACGTCCTGGCACCACAGCCGCGGCACGCATTTGGCAGGCACAAATGTGCAACTGGTTGGCATGAAGGCTGCTGGAAGCTGTGGCAGCAAGCTGGCAAACGGTGATTTATGGTGATTTCAACCGGTCGTTTCCAATGGTGTGGGACTGTCGCATAATCATGGGCCGAGCCAAGGACAACCTTAAACTGGCCCCGCACACACTTTACAAAGGTATGAAGTAAAAGGCCGAATGTGACAGCGCATGCTTCTTGCGCGGGCCTGTGGTGAGTAGCACTACGCCACCAGACCTTCCTCGCAAACCCTTTGACGACGTGACCTTTGAACTGATGGCGCACCGGACGCGATTGGAAAGTGAGCCGTAACGACTATGTGACTTTCCTCTTTATCCTCATTACGAACCAACATTCCACACTGACAAGTTTCCGGGTCATCCCCCCACCCACAAGCAGTGCACTCAAAAGCAACTCGTCCTTTGGGTTTACCAGCGGGACGCAAGACCGCTGTGTTGGAAGCGACGGACCACCATCCTTGCCAAGTGTGTACGTGCATGCATAAATGTACATCCAAGTCTTGAGTGTGAGTCCCAGAGCAAGTGCACACGCAAGTGTAAAAAATGCGCGTGCATGCGTGCGTGCCTGCGTGCTCGTGCATGATCGTGCGTGCTCGTGCGTGGTCCTGGGGTGCTTGCGTGCGAGAAGATGTGAAAGAAGATACGCTCCTCCCACCGCTCTATGGCGGCAATTCTTGTCGTGCAAAATGAAAAACATTTTGCAGTGGGGCCTATGCCCCTCGCACTCCAGGGTCCAGTCCAATATTGTTTGGCTCGCATGAGCTCAGACGATTTCGCCAGTCTATCCGGGTTTTCTGCAATGAAAGTCAATAGAAGCGTGATCGTGAGTGTGCGTGCTTGATCGTGCGTGATCGTGCGTGATCGCGCGTGATCGTGCGTGATCGTGCGTTCGTGCGTGATCGTGCGTGTGCGTGCTTGATCGTGCATGATCGTGCGTGATCGTGCGTGATCGTGCGTGATCAAGCATGATCGTGCGTGTTCGTGCGTGATCGTGCGTGATCGTGGGTGATCGTGCGTGATCGCGCGAGTTCGTGCGTGATCGTGCGTGATCGTGCGTGATCGTGCGTGATCGTGCGTGATCGTGCGTGATCGTGCGTGATCGTGCGTGATCGTGAGTGATCGTGCCTCCTGATCGTGCCTGAGCGAGCCTTAGAGTGCCTGACCGTGCCTGACCATGCCTGATCGTGCCTGACCCTGCCTGATCGTGCCTGATCGTGCCTGATCGTGCCTGATCGTGCCTGAGCGTGCCTCAGCGTGCCTAAGCGTGCCTAAGCGTGCCTAAGCGTGCCTGAGCGTGCCTGTGCGTGCCTGAGCGTGCCCGTACCTGAGAGTGCCTGAGCGTGCCTGAGTGTGCCTGAGCAAGCCTGAGCGTGCCTGAGTGTGCCTGAGCAAGCCTGAGCGTGCCTGCGTGCATGCGTACTTGCGTGCGTGCCTCTGTGCGTGTCTCTGCATGCGTGTCTGTGAGTGTCTCTCAATGTGTCACTGCGCGTGTCACTGTGTGTGTCTCTGTCTGTCTCTGTCTGTCTCTGTCTGTCTCTGTCTGTCTCTGTCTGTCTCTGTCCGTCTCTGTCTGTCTGTCTAACTGTCTGTCTGTCTGTCTGTCGGTCTGTGTGTGTGTGTGTGCGTGTGTGTCTGCGTGCCTGCGTGCCTGCGTGCCTGCGTGCCTGCGTGCGTGCGTGCGTGCTTGCGTGCTTACGTGCGTGCGTGCGTGCGTGCTTGCGTGCGTGCGCGCGTGCGTGCGTGCGTGTGTGTGTGTGTGTGTGTGTCTCTGTCTGGTGTGTGTGTGTGTGTGTCTCTGTGTGCATGTGTGTGTGTGTGTGTGCGTGTGTGTGTGTGTGTGTGTGTGTGTGTGTGTGTGTGTGTGTGTGTGTGTGTGTGTGTGTGTGCGTGTGTGTGTGTGTGTGTGTGTGTGTGTGTGTGTGTCTGTGTCTGTGTCGGTGTCTGTGTCTGTGTCTGTGTCTGTGTCTGTGTCTGTGTCTGTGTCTGTGTCTGTGTCTGTGTCTGTGTCTGTGTCTGTGTCTGTGTCTGTGTCTGTGTCTGTGTCTGTGTCTGTGTCTGTGTCTGTGTCTGTGTCTGTGCGTGTGTGCGCGTCTGTGTGTGTACGTGCGTATGTGTATCTGTTCCTGTGTCTGTGTCTGTGTCTTGTGTGTATGTGTATGTGTATGCTCATGTGTGTTTGCGTGTGGCCATTCCCGAACTGCACGAGGGAGAATTGTTGCATCGTGCAGGGGGGGGCACGGCATCAGATTCCAGATTGTGCCTAACAAAGCTATGGAATCTGATGGGAAGCGAGAGCTGATCACTCTCGTGTACCTGCGCAATGTTACGTTATATCCTGTATGATCTTCGCTGTATATTGCTGCCGCAATCGCTGTTGTCCACTAACGTCCTCTAGTACCAGCATCTCGGTCTGCAAATTAAGCAACTTGGCCTTTCACTATTAAGCCAGCGACCTCAGCATCGACTCACCAAAGAACACTCCAGTGCGCGGACGTATGTCCAATAGGCGGAGGGCCCAGTGGTGCACCGTCTTGATCTCTTCGGGCAATGGAGGAAATAGATGAGGTTTACCTCCCGGTCGGCACTTACGTGCAAAGAAATAAAGATGATCGGCGAAAGCCAAAGCAGCCCCGGGCAAAGTACGCTGGTCACAAAGTACCCGTATGTCCCCTGGATCTCCCGTTGTCGTTTTGCCTTTTCTTGTGTCTGTCGCGTGTTTTGTTCTTTGGGCTTCTCTCTTCCTTTCCGTTTCCTTTGCTGATTCCTCCTTCTTCGTTTTCTCACCTTCAGCTTGAGCACACATTCTTGCGTGCATCTGACATAGTGACATAGCCTGTGTGTGAGTTTCAGCAAATTGGATACGAGCCTTCCTATTTGCATTATCCGCCGCACTGCGGCGGTGTGCGTGTGGCCACTCCCGAACTGCACGAGGGAGAATTGTTGCATCGTGCAGGGGGGGGCACGGCATCAGATTCCAGACTGTGCATAACAAAGCTATGGAATCTGATGGGAAGCGAGAGCTGATCACTCTCGTGTACCTGCGCAATGTTACGTTATATCCTGTATGATCTTCGCTGTATATTGCTGCCGCAATCGCTGTTGTCCACTAACGTCCTCTAGTACCAGCATCTCGGTCTGCAAATTCAGCAACTCGGCCTTTCACTATTAAGCCAGCGACCTCAGCATCGACTCACCAAAGAACACTCCAGTGTGCGGACGTATGTCCAATAGGCGGAGGGCCCAGTGGTGCACCGTCTTGATCCCTTCGGGGCAATGGAGGAAATAGATGAGGTTTACCTCCCGGTCGGCACTTACGTGCAAAGAAATAAAGATGATCGGCGAAAGCCAAAGCAGCCCCGGGCAAAGTACGCTGGTCACAAAGTACCCGTATGTCCCCTGGATCTCCCGTTGTCGTTTTGCCTTTTCTTGTGTCTGTCGCGTGTTTTGTTCTTTGGGCTTCTCTCTTCCTTTCCGTTTCCTTTGCTGATTCCTCCTTCTTCGTTTTCTCACCTTCAGGTACCGGGACGGGAGGACGGGCAAGATGCCACCAATTTGAGGTTTTTCCCTCGGTTAGGCCTCCGGGCCGACAGTATCGAGACAATGCGGTCAGGCCCTTTCTCCTCTTCGCCGCGAAGAAGCCTCGGTGCCTTGGTTTAAGCCGTGGTGGCTTCCCTTGAGCCGAGGCACGGCAGTAGACATAACTCGGCGAATTAGGCGCGAGCCTCTGGGCCTTCCTATTTGCATTTTCCGCCGCACTGCGGCGGTGTGCGTGTGGCCACTCCCGAACTGCACGAGGGAGAATTGTTGCATCGTGCAGGGGGGGGCACGGCATCAGATTCCAGACTGTGCCTAACAAAGCTATGGAATCTGATGGGAAGCGAGAGCTGATCACTCTCGTGCACCTGCGCAATGTTACGTTATATCCTGTATGATCTTCGCTGTATATTGCTGCCGCAATCGCTGTTGTCCACTAACGTCCTTTAGTACCAGCATCTCGGTCTGCAAATTCAGCAACTCGGTCTTTCACTATTAAGCCAGCGACCTCAGCATCGACTCACCAAAGAACACTCCACAGTGTGTGTGTGTGTGTGTGTCACCGTGTGCATGTGTGTGTGTGTGTCATTGTGTCTGTGTGTGTGTCTGTCTGTGTGTGTGTGGGTGTGGGTGTGGGTGTGGGTGTGGGCGTGGGTGTGGGTGTGGGTGTGGGTGTGGGTGTGGGAGTGGGTGTGGGTGTGGGTCTGGGTGTGTGTTTGTGTGTGCGCGTGCGTGCGTGCGTGCGTCTGTGTGTCCCTGTCTCTGTGTGTCTCTGTGTGTCTCTGTGTGTCTCTGTGTGTCTCTGTGTGTCTCTGTGTGTCTCTGTGTGTCTCTGTGTGTCTCTGTGTGTCTCTGTGTGTCTCTGTGTGTCTCTGTGTGTCTCTGTGTGTCTCTGTGTGTTCTGTGTGTCTCTGTGTGTCTCTGTGTGTCTCTGTGTGTCTCTGTGTGTCTCTGTGTGTCTCTGTGTGTCTCTGTGTGTCTCTGTGTGTCTCTGTGTGTCTCTCTGTGTGTCTCTGTGTGTCTCTGTGTGTCTCTGTGTGTCTCTGTGTGTCTCTGTGTGTCTCTGTGTGTCTCTGTGTGTCTCTGTGTGTCTCTGTGTGTCTCTGTGTGTCTCTGTGTGTCTCTGTGTGTCTCTGTGTGTCTCTGTGTGTCTCTGTGTGTCTCTGTGTGTCTCTGTGTGTCTCTGTGTGTCTCTGTGTGTCTCTGTGTGTCTCTGTGTGTCTCTGTGTGTCTCTGTGTGTCTCTGTGTGTCTCTGTGTGTCTCTGTGTGTCTCTGTGTGTCTCTGTGTGTCTCTGTGTGTCTGTGTGTGTAACCTGCTGCACGTGCAGGATTGGGGTCACTCCCGTTTTTCGATTTCATGCAGGGGGTCCCAGATCTGCTACTCATGCTGGGACCAACGAAGACCATCAGTAGCAGACGTGCAAACGTACCTGCTATGAGGAGTAGTTGCGTCCGCAGCTGGTATCCTCAACGGGGACAGAAACCTCATCCCCGCAACGTGTTACATGTTGTCGTCAGCATTGCACTTCGCAGACGACAACATATGCCATTCCTGGTGTCTGGCACGACGACGACACAAGGGACAGAACCCGCATCCCAACGATCATTCCTGTGATCTGATCTGGGGCCTGAAACCTAGCCCAAACAATGACGACGATAGTCACTGACTATGCGTGATGTTGTCCAGTCGAATGTCCGTCTCATCAGTTCCAGAGTAGTCAACGTGTGTATGGTTCTGGCGTGTTGTCCCGTCACGGGGCCAGATCCCAGAAGACCCGGGCATCCGGGATTGACTGAGCTCTGCTGACTGAGATACTCATTCATCGGGATCATCTGCAGTAGGCTTTGTGGCATGAGTGAGCGCGAGCACAGACATGTCATCGGGATCATCCAACTTGCAGACGCAGGGGTACGCGGACGGCACCGCTTTGTGGTTTTGGTAATGCGCCGCCAGCTGTGAACAGGTAGCTTGACTCAGGCTGCATCAGGCACAGACACGTGTCCTCCCCGCTAATGTTGGTAAAGTGGTGTTGTCCTCCCTCTTGTTGTTGTTGGTGAACTTCCTCTGCACCTCCTGTCGTTGTTGTTCATGTGCATGAGTTAGCATGTCTCTTCTGCTAATGTTGGTAAAGTGTTACTGAACTCCCTCTGGTTGTGGTGATGATCTACCTCGCCCGTTCTCCGCTTCAAGACGTCTGACCTGTCTTTGAGGGGGTCCCAGATCTGCTACTCATGCTGGGACCAACGAAGACCATGAGTAGCAAACGTGCAAACGTACCTGCTATGAGGAGTACCTGGGTGGTTGCGTCCGCAGCTGGTATCCTCAACGGGGACAGAAACCTCATCCCCGCAACGTGTTACATGTTGTCGTCAGCATTGCACTTCGCAGACGACAACATATGCCATTCCTGGTGTCTAGCACGACGACGACACAAGGGACAGAACCCGCATCCCAACGATTATTCCTGTGGTCTGATCTGGGGCCTGAAACCTAGCCCAAACAATGACGACGATAGTCACGGACTATGCGCGATGTTGTCCAGTCGAATGTCCGTCTCATCAGTTCCAGACAAGTCAACGTGTGTGTCTGTGTGTCTGTGTGTCTGTGTGTCTGTGTGTCTGTGTGTCTGTGCGTCTGTGCGTCTGTGCGTCTGTGCGTCTGCAGGTTTTTGCTTTTTTTGCACTGCGCGTAGCTTGACAAGATCTTGACATTGGCACACATATGTTGAGCACGACAACACGACGTCTGCGAGGCTCCAGGAAAGACCCAGCTGCACCAACAGAGTCGATCAAGGACTTCGGGCCAACGATCCAACAAATCCGCAGACCAGGCATTCTCCAGCACCTGATGATGTCAAAGGTCAAGCTGTCAAGCTGACAGAAGCATCAAAAGATATCAAAAGGTACAAATGCAGCCAGCAAAGCTTTGTTAGCCCGTCGAGAATGATTATTGGATCCGCGTTCACATCCTCCACGAACTGAGCTGCCGAAACCTGCAACGAAAAATAGAATTGCCAGAGAAGCCTAGGAATACGCTTGCCACACGCACCATGCGAAGCCGAGAGCAAAAACAAAAGAAGACTTTACGGCAGGAAAAAGTCAAGTAGCAGTACGCCACGTCGCATCCGTTGGAGACATGCGCTGTGTGTATATATACCGTGAGTAGATCTCGTCCAAGACTATGGAGCACTGCGTCTCCCTGGCGATGCGAACCCAGTTCTTGAGCCTTGGCCAAAGCAAGTTAATCTGTCGGCTCGAAACTACACAAGCGGTCACCAGCACTCTTGGATACTCTTGGCTCTTGGGCATGCCGCCAGCTAAGCAACGACATGCAGCACGTATCACCCAAATATCGCCCTGTGGCCAAGAAAGGGACCAAGAAATGCCGGCCGGCATTGTGAGAAAACATCCCTACGAATGTAAAAAAAACGGGGGCCCGTGCAAAGAATCCAAAGAAGGCAAGGAAGCTACTTTGCCAGCTTTGGAGGAAGCCTTGAGAACTTTAGAGTCTTTGGACGCCTTTGCTGGATCCCATCTTCAGGCCTTCAGCCTCCGGCAATGCCCGACCTGCCGCGCCACCGCGGAGCCCAAATCAACGAAAAACTATCACTGTCAGCCCTGCGGGCCAAGGCCAGCATCGCGAAGCGATGTTACGCGAGTCACTGGCCAATACGAGTCCAGGAACTCTTCGCCCTCCACAAGTTGACCAGTCGGATTGCAGGGGTTCGACAGAAGCAGAACTGAAAGGCCGCGTCCAACAATTTCGCGACGGAGATCCTGCAAAAAATTGTTGGTAGCCCCACGGTAGTACTGTACCTACCTAGAATTGGCACCGTGACATTTTGCTTTCCAACGAGTACACTCGCTCAAGTCCACGGGCACTTTGTCCTGCAATGTGATCCGGAAGTTGTTCTTGGGATCCAGAGGAATCGGAATGGAGTTGATGGTTTTGAACCTGCATCCGCACTTGTCAGTGATAGAACCAAGCTTCGGCAGAAACATCTAAAACATCATCTTCTTGGCGGTATCCGAGACCCGGTCTGGCTCAGGAGCTCAGCATATGCCGTGTAGTCCTGCCAGAGATTTGCTGCTGCATGCAAGAAATGTACAAACGAAAGGCACATGCTAAGCCTGTTATGCTATGTCGCAAGTTGTAGACCACACTCCTCTCCGCTTAACATGAAAATCGTATTCTCACGTTGGTACTTCACTTCCAAGGACAGGGACCCTCCATCACCAACATCATTTGTTGGGACGTGTTTTGCTCTGTGTCCCTTCTTGTTCCTGCAATTACACTACACTCTCATTGACTCTCATGCCGTTCAAGGCGAAACGTGCACATCCCTGCGTCCGGCAGGAAGTGGCCCAAGTTGACGTTATCCATTGCACCTGAGGCTCCAGGAACACGCAAAGCACCATGCAGTCAGCATTCAACTGCAAACGCACGTGCTGAAACGCAGAAGCTTCTGATCTTCCGAGAACTGGGGCTTCCACAGCACAGTCGTGTGAGGGCGAGACGCCCCCCCCCAACTATCGCTACATTTTCCGCAGAGTAAAGGGAGCTCTTCCCTTTGCGATATACTTCATTGTAGAAGCCAGCCACGGCTCGACGCAAAGCCCAGTCACCGTTGACGCTGCCGTAGTGCAGATTCTCCTCGTTCACTTCGAGCGACTTTATGTGGAAGGGGCCCAGTTCGGACGTCAGCTTACCCTTCTCGACCAGCTCCGTCAAGCGCTTCCTCACGTTTGTAGGCCAGTTCTTAGCCCTGGTGGTCTCTGGGGATCCTTGTCCTAAGTTGGCCCATACTTGCGCAGTTGAAGCAGAGTAGCCGGCTTTGCTGGCTTCGTCCATAACATAGATGACACCAGTCTTGGGCACTTTGCGAAAACCAGTGAGAAAAAACTCGTCCGCGGAAGCAAGGTTTCCGAGCTCATCGGGAACAGGTGTGGAAGCCACTTGAAGTTCCTGCTCATCAGCAACGGTGTCATTGCAAGGTGCATCCATTTCGACTTGCGGCTTTGGTGGAAGCGGATATCTCCGCCGGACCTGGACTTTCCCATTCACCTCGCTTACCTCAAGCTCCTCAATCCTCTGCAGGCTTGATACGACCAGGTCCAAGTCATTTGTGATTTGCTGTACCCGATTGAACCCCGCAATGATATCAGCAGAAATGTAGTCAGTTGCCTCAGCACCAAGCTGGTTTACCAACCACTCATCCTTCCAGAGGTTCTTGTCACTGAAATAGTATCGCAACTGTCTTTCCAGCCGTGGATCAGCCATGGCAAATGTCAACAAGAATTTAACGAATCACCGATAGGGAATTGATAATAGTCGTGTCAAGCCTGTGCTGGTAGCAACGATCGGACTATCTGAAAGCGGCTTGATCTCCATTGAGGACGGATGGCTCAGGAATCTACAGTTTCACACAACATTGTGCAGCATGCAACATGCACAGCAAGATGAGTTCTCAAAGCTCTTTGTTCGATGACAGCAATTTGCCCTTCTTTTGGTCCTGTCCTGTGCTTTCTCTGGTGCTGCTGCGCCCTCTCGGCGTCTAAGCTGCACTCAGTAATCGAGAACTGTGCGAAGAAGGGGCCCGCTTGCAGTGACTGCAGGTGACCCAAGCCACCACAGCAACCAGTAGCAAGACGCCCGCGATGATCAAGGCAATTCCCCAACCAGGAAAGCCAGATGATGGAGGCGTACCAGGAACAATGCAAGCATTCGACCACACAAGAGGAGGGGGGCACATCATACTTGGTTGCTTGACAAGGCTGAAGACCAGCGAAGGTGGTGAACACTCATGTGCGACAGTGCATCCATAGCTACTCAAAGCGTCGTGGAAGCTGTTGGCAAGCTGCTGCATGTTGATGCTGGCCAGCTGGTAAGAAGTCCAATTCAAGGATTCGTCTGTGTTGTACTGGCTTGCAGCCACAACACCGATGTCTACTGTGTCGGCATCGCTACGAACGGCAGAAGAGGAGAAATTGACCACGTCGACAGAGATGTTAGTCTCTTTCTTCACGGCATCCCGAAACGCAGGAATGAAGGCAGAAGCCAGCCAACCATCAACAAGCGACAAGTTCCCAGATGCCGCCTGATACGTCGCCATAGCCACCCGATCCTTGATTTCGCAAATGCCTTCTAGCTCAAACCCGTGCGGACAAGCAGTACATGTACCATGTCCTGCGACTGGGCATGCTGTGCAAAACATAGACCCATTCTTCTTCCCGGGCGGAAAACATGGGCGTGCCGGTTGCGGAGGCTTGGCAGACTTCTCGCATTCCTTGTCTCCCATGGGACAATCATCGGGGCAGTCACAAACTAACGACTGAACTTCTGTTCCATTGCCGCAACCATCGTCACACTGACTCCAATTACCAAATTGGTGCGCGTCCCACGGGCAGCTGTTTCCACGACAAGATGACATGTTGACCGGGCGTGTGGATTCCTCACACGGTCCGAATATATCCTCGAATGGACACCACACTTGCCGATGCTGCGTTCCGTTTCCACACTCGGAGTCGCACTCGCCCCACTCATCATGCTGCCACACTCGCTTACACTTTCCGACATACACGCAGCACGCTTCTTTCTCTGTTCGAAGGCTGCACTCTCCATGACAATCAGAAGCGCATACCGGCAAGGCAGCCTGCAACGGGGCGAGTTCATCGGCTACAAGTTGTTGCACTAGCACCAGAAACACGAGCTTGATAATATCTACTAGAGCATGGACGTTTAAAGCGTTTGGTCCATCTCCAGGTCAAGCTTAGATGGCGACCAAATGCAAATCCGAAGAGGCAACAAGCGATGAAAACCACCGCGACAACGACAACTGCAATCACTACAAATCACTACGAACCCCTACAAATCATTACAACAGCCATCAACCAAACCATGACGTTTTAAACACAAACAACCTCAACCACAACATCAAATCATAACGACGCCCGTGTGAGAAATTCTACGATGAGTCGATGAGAAGGGGAACGCGATGAATGCAACGACAGCGACCTGAGGCCAAGTCAGTTAAGCCTCCATGAGGTTCCTATATCTCTAAATATTACTATATTCGGAATTCAGACCTTGAAAGTTAGAATTCCTGGACCGGCATAAACTTCCATCTGGCGATGCTGCACAACGGGAGCCACGATGGCTCGCTGTGGTAGATAGAGTCTTTCTTTGCAAAAGGTGATGGACACACGATGCAGGTTGTGTTCATAATCGACATCCTGAAAGAACTTGTTGTCCGGGATATGCATGTCCAGCGACATTTGCACTAAAAAAACTGGTCAGCTTTGTTCATGCGCATGTTGTTACGAGGCCAAGGAAAACCTTCGTTGACCCAACCGATAAACTCGTCAAACCCTCCAGAAATACACGTGGCGTGCTATCACTCTGCAACATCAGAACGTGCTTTTCGAGCCTTGTACTGGGGCATCTGCTTGTTGAGGAAGAGGTCCACCCTGCATGGCACTTGCGAGGCTGGCCTTGGGGAAGGGGGGTTGGCCGTCCCAGGAACATAGCAAGCATCGCACACTCCTGAGTCGTCACGATGACAGTACGAGACACCTGCATCAGGAACAGGTTTGTTGCACATCGGTGCGTATTTGTCGCAGGCAGGATTACGAGCATAGTAATCCTGTACTACGCTTCCTCCAAAGGCTTCTTGAATTGCCAAAGCTCGGACAGAATTCCGACTCGCATTGCATCGTCCAGTCCAAAATGGAAGGCCAAGTTCTTTCTGGGCATGGCATGATGGATCCTTGCAAGATGTCACGCACCCTGGGTAGTCATACTCTCTGCAATACGTCACTCCCAAATGGGTGAATGTCAAGTTTGTGTTGCTGCAATGCAACCGGAAATCCTGCCAGTCTGCACATTTTCTTCCACCACAATCTTGCTGTTGTATTCCCACAATGCTGTCAAGCTTCACTGTTGTGAAGTTCTGAATATAATAAGAGCAACCAGGCGTACCGTCAGGTATCCCTGATGTAAACATCCGCGGCTTGCACAAGCCTCCAGCCACATATTGGCTCTTGGACGACGGGACCAGGCCTTTTTGGTATTTGGTGCAGTTGGAGCTCTGCTTCTTTGCGGATGGCATATTTGGACAAGGGCCACTCAAGCTGAACCAATAGAAGGTGGAAGCGGTGGGGTACCGAACATCCCCAGCTGGCGGATGGTAAGATTGAATTCCAACCAGGTCGCCGCCTCAGTCACTTGTTGCACCCGAAACGCCACTGTGCCGGGACATGCTGTCAGATTGGATAGACATCTTGTTGTGAAAGGACCTACACACCTATCGCGAAAACGTTCACAAAGCGCCCGTGCAATCTCGTGCATTCTTGGTCCGACTTCGCATACAAATCGAGGCTCAGCTTTCCAGGTCATGCAACATACTTTGTGAGCAGCTGCTCCCCCGGAATTTTGTTGGGTTTGTCACAGGTGTCATGCTGACAAACACCCAACCGTAGTTGTGTTTGCTGTCTTGCGATCGTTTTTTGCCCTCCCGTTTCGGGTCCACACTGTGCACACGCATCTTCGCGACAGATCGCAAAGAATTGAGACGAACAGCAAGACCACAAGAACGACCGTTTGCAACAGGCGAGGTCCAATGCTGTCAACGTGCATGAATCATAACTCTACTTGCAGGTTGATGCACACACACTCTATGCACACTGCATTGCTGAACTGTGGCCGGTGCTTTTAGCAAACATTGCTGCATCCTCTGCAGGCAGGATTGCTCCATCTTCGAACCGGGCAAACCTTGCAAACTCTGCCTGTACGTTAACGTCACTGGAAGTCTTATTGTTTCGCACTCGTATCTGGTACTTGACGATGGTGTCGATGCCTTTGTCACGGGTGGTCCTCAAAGGATCCTTGCCAGTCTCGACAACAATTTCTGTTGCCAGAAACTTCGCCAAGCCGGATGCATCAAACAAGTCCATGTTCCCAGGCGTGCTGACATCACCCCCACTGGGAACCGCAGCATACATTTCCAATGTCACATAATTCGGCTTGGCTTCCGAAGAAACAACCTGCCAGGTGAGGATGTCATCACTATCGGAACCGCTTGAAGCTATCTGCTCATGCACAAGCTGCACATGACAAAGAAGCCCATCAATGCCTTCAGGTCGCCGTGTCCGACGCACGTGCGAACTGCCAAAGCGACCAACCCAATCCACATCGACATACTTGCAAGGACAATGTGGCAATGTGTGCGGATATCTGTCTTGCGCATGCAATTGATTCAGTACATGACAAGTCGCCAACAAAGGCACGACTAATTATCAAATGTACAACATGTGCAGTGACAAGAAGAGCAAAAACACTGAAGAACTTCGCTTCCACGTGCCTGCAGTACTGATGCGCATGCATGCAACACAACCCAAAAAATTAAAGCCCACATGGGCCACCTGACCTTCAAACGTTTCCCGTGTATGTGAACATGAATGAAGAGATCAAACGAACCAAAGCCCGAGGATGAAGAACACTCACAAAAATCAATGGATCCCACCAGGTCTTGGTTCGTAAAAGCACCCAACAGTGTAAATTGTGAATTGCTGCATTTCTGCCTTTTTCGGCGAAACTTCTGCCTCTTCACAACACAAAAGTTACAGATTCCTGTCTCTTCACAAGCCTATGGTAGCAGCACATCCGCCTATTCGCAAGCTGCAAAAACGGTTTACGGCATCTTTCGGTGCTTATTTACAAGCTTCAAAAACACGAAAATATGGTTTGGTTTTGTTTTGGTTTGTCATACCGGGGATTTGCAACGGTGTCAATACAGCCTTGTTATGTCGCCGCTGTTTAGTTGATTTTTCGGTCGTGCTTGTCACGCAAAGGGAACATGTTTAAAAAAATGGCTTGGTTGCTTTGACTTCGCGAGGTCTAAGGCCAACGTGTAAGTTAGGTCTTTAAGACCTATAACCCTGCCTTGGCTTGGCTGTGTTCGCAACCGCCCCTCGCTTTTATGCTGTTGCAAGACCATGCGCGTCATCTAACTTCATGCATGTCAAAAACAAATCCACGAGGGTCTTTTTTGCTAACAGCAGAGACGCAGGTTTTCACACAGCTCCGCATAAAACTTCAAATGCAACATGCAGAGTGTCATGCTTTTTGAAAAGATCTGAGGAAAATCAAATATTCCGAATTTCCGTTTTAAAACTGCAATTTATGCAAAGCGGAATAAAAGCCCATGCTTCTTCTCAGGAGATGTACAGAGTGTCTTCTGTTTGCTCGCGCCGAAAACTTTAAAAAAACAACGTTTTCACGCACACAGAAACAGAATGTAGCATGTCCCATGTATTCAAAAATGACACTCAAAAGCTTGAATTCGTGTAGCTTCTTCCTGTGAAGCTAGAAGGAAAACATCAATCTTCAAATGTGCATCATACTTTTCTTGTCACGACCGTGAATGCATGTCATCTGGCTCATCATACAAGCTTGAAAAACGTGATGTATAAAAGACTTCTAAAACCGTTCTTTCGGTGCAAACAGATTGTCCGACTTTGAATTTGTTTTCACACATATCGCCACACGCGAGATCACGTGAAGGGACGCAAAGGTGTTCTGTGGGTGTCTTAATGGCTTTGCACGGTAAAGAACAATTGCTGGTGTCTCGGCTTCTGAAAGCATTCATCGTCCGCCAGCAGTGTTGCCAGTGGGTGATATATCTCCCAAAGTCCTTGTTTGCATGTCTTCGGTGCAGCGTTCGGCGTCGGTGTAGGAGTTGCAATATTTAGCGCCGGCGTAGCTGTGATCACCGGGGCATGTGCCATTGTCGCGTCCGCGCAGCTGAAGTGTCCAGGAATTCTCGCCAACGAACCTTTTGCTAAGTTGGAGCTCGGACTGCAGCGGGTGGTGAGAACACCCACCCCTGACTACGGGGGCCCTCCACCCATGCCAGTCAACCAGCCACTGACTCCATGCTTGTGTCAGGTCCCTAAGTCTAGTGTAATCGCCTTCCCCTTCCCAGATATATGTTAGGTCATGCAGTGTGCCTTGACAGAAACGTAATCCTAGTAGTAGTAGTAGTAGTAGTAGTAGTAGTAGTAGTAGTAGTAGTAGCAGCAGTAGTAGTAGGAGTAGTAGTAGTAGTAGTAGTAGTAGTGAGTGAGTGAGTGGACGGCCTGGGGTGCACTCCGGCCAACGGAAACGTTCCCTCCCGCCATCTCTTCGCCCCTCCGCTTGCGTCATCGGCGAGATCCAGCAAGAGTTCGACGCTCCGAGCCCTCAATCCGAGCTGGGAAAAACGCCACCCGAACCTCCATGGGCCCGCCCCCCCAAGCCGGGCGGCTTGGGTTGGATTTGGGCACTTAGGCAAGACAGCCCACTTCACAGGAACAGAAACTCTTCCCCTTGCGATCCCTCACAAAGGTACTAAGCTGGGGGCATTGGCTCGGAGACAGGGCTTAGGGTGCGGGGTGGTCGCACCAAACACGCACACACCCACCGGCAGCACAGCAAGACTAAGGGAAAAAGCAAGTTCAGCTAATCCCCTTTTGGCTGCCCAAACTCCAACAGTATCCCCTTGGCATGCGGGGCAATGCCTGCAACTCAAGGCACCGCCCCCCACCAGAAGTAGTAGTAGTAGTAGTAGTAGTAGTAGTAGTAGTAGTAGTAGTAGTAGTAGTAGTAGTAGTAGTAGTAGAAGTAGTGGTAGTAGTAGTAGTAGTAGTAGTAGTAGTAGTAATAATAGTAGTAGTAGTAGTAGTAGTAGTAGTAGTAGTAGTAGAGTGATAATAGTAGTAGTAGAGTGATAATAGTAGTAGTAGTAGTAGTAGTAGTAGTAGTCGTCGTAGTGGTAGTTGTTGTAGTAGTAGTAGCAGTAGTAGTACTACTATGTAGTAGTAGCAGTAGCAGTAGCAGTAGCAGTAGTAGTAGCAGCAGCAGCAGTAGTAGTAGTAGTAGTAGTAGTAGTAGTAGTAGTAGAAGAGTAGTAGTAGTAGTAGTAGTAGTAGTAGTAGTAGTAGTAGTAGTAGTAGTAGAAGTAGAAGTAGAAGTAGTAGTTTATATTTTACTATCAGCCATCGCCCAAAGTACAGCAAAGGAAATCTTTCACAACGCATACCCGCATTCGCCAAATCTGAACATCTACAACAACAAGATGAATGCAGAAGATATCTCACCCGAATCGGATCTATGCACTCCACTGCACAAAGGACCATCGGGCGAAACACTCCTTCACTTTTTGGATGTGGCGGTCGAAGCATCAAAGGTGAGCATGCAGCATGAACACATTGCCGATCCATGCGAACCAAAAGACATTCCCCACTTTAGAACTGCCACATCCTAAAGTGAAGGAGGAACGCCTGGAAAGCCCCAAACATTCAAGTGTGACGACTGAGCTCATGGGGGCTGCCACAGCAGCTTTGTATCTGCGGGAAAAAGACGCACATCATGATGCGACTGCCAAATGCGAGCCACAGGAAATCGATACCTGTACAAGAGCTCAAACCCGTGCTGCAACTCCTCCGGCGGCTGCCATCTACTCAAGAAATCTGCTTCTGTATTGCGAAAGCCGGAGATGTGCTGGATGTCCAAGGTGAGGCCGAGCTTGAATGAAAGACACGCCAGTTGCTGCGCGAAGAAGCAAAGGGGGCTGGAAGTTGTCAGCATGCGATTGCCTGCTGACTCAGCCGCGCTGTTATCGCAGAAGGTGCGGAGCGACAAGCCAGCACGACCACCCGGACAGACCTCCGCAAAGAGGATGAGCAAGGCCATCTGGGCGAGCAGTTCCCAGCAACCAATGTTCTTCTGAGCATCCGGGGCGAGAGGCACCCCCAAGCATTGCATATCGGAGAGAGCAAAACGTTCACTGAACCAAACTGCCGAGGAACCCTGGACACGAAGAAAGCCCCCAATCCCAATGCACTGGCTGGAAGCAAACGCATCGGCTGCAAGTGTTGCGGAGATCGCCCTGCAAGAAGGTTGCAAGCATGTGAGTGATGGAGACTGGAGACACCAGTCCTCCCAGAAGAGCAAGAAGCGACGGCTCGCCTCGGACACATGCCGCTTCCGGTGTTGCGGGTCAGCAATCCGCATGTAGACGCGACGAGTTGTCAAAGGGACCTTGCACAGATCTGCCTTGCTGCGAACTGGGACGTGTCGGGCAGAGATCAAGGTAGCACCGCATGGAATGGCCGTCCCAGGCGGGGTAGAACGGAACCGCAAGTTCTCATCCAGGTGATCCTTGAGCGTCTGCCATTCACTGGAAGAGATGCTGAAGTTTGTCGCTGCCGGACGTTGAAGGTCCCGCCAAAGGTTGCAAAGCCAGGGGCGCAGCTGCACCGATGCCTGAGTTATCCACATCAACAGACCCACGGTCTGCTCTAGGGCCTGTTTCTCGACAGGACCTTTTCTGAGAAGAACCCGAACCTGTTGCAGCAGCTTGGCCCGCTTATCTTCTGGAACCCAGAACGTTCCGGCGCGAAAGTTAAAACACCAGCCCAACCACTTCAGCTCATGACTGAGTTGTACCTTGGCCCAGGAAAGAGGAATCCCGAAGGATTGGCAGAAAGAGAGAAGCAAGCTGCCGAACACTGCCACCACAGCATCATCCTGGACCAGTAAAAGATCGTCCACATAAATGCTGAGCATATGTGCGACCCATAATAGAAGATGGAAAACCCTGATCATGAAGGATGAAAGCCGCGCCCACCAAAGAGCTGAGAAATTCGTACCAAAGGGGCACACGCGATACCAGTAATGGCGGCCATCCTCCAGCTTAATGCCGCACAGACCACGCTCCGAGTCCTTGATACGGATTGTTTTGTGCGCGGCCCGGATATCCAAACTGAAACCTGCGTGCTGAGAGTGGCACCCGCGAAGAGGAAAGCAAGAGCGAACATCCTGCAGGCCAGGGAGGTTGTACTTCTCGTTCATGAAACAGCTTCGGTTGGTCCCACTGATAGTCCCATCCATGATCAAGCGGGGCTTCTTGTTTTCAGCAAGGACCACGTTCAGCTTGGCAACCGCGATTTTATCCCAACGTTGCTTTGCCTCGGAGAGAGGAACCTCTTCCAGCCAGCCTTCATCGACTTCTTTCTGCACCAACTCGTGCAGGATAGCAGGGTTCTCCCGTGCGCCCTGCCAATTGCTCTCGCAAATCTGCAGTTGATCATCGGAGGCCAGGCTGCCCACGTCTTCCACCGGGATGAAGACGTTGCTCCTCGGGATGTCATTGAAGAAACCAGTGGGGATGCCCTCCAACAAGCAAGGAAACAGCAAGTCATCTCGATCGCCCATGGCTCGGGACAAAGCGGAGAGGGCATGAAGACAATATGGCTGAGAAGGTGGAACTGTCCAATCGGGGGCAGGCCAGCCCTTGCGAGTGAACCAGGAGGACCACATGGCGCGAAGAGCCAGCACTTCATCCGCGGAAAACAGAGCATCCTCGCATTGACTTTGAACATGCTCCTGAAGGCGAAGAGGTGCCTTGCGAGACAACAGGTAATGCACAAGTTCTTGGCGCAAGCCGTCAAAGACATCCACAGCATCGCTAGGGGGCTTAGACCAATCAGGGCAGGAAAAGATGCCGCCGCCATCTTGCGTGCCAAAAGGAGGAGAGTGCATGCCCTTCTTGGGTACAAGAAGGGGAGCTGGGCCAAGGACAAATCAACTGGATCTGCACACGTCTCGAACAAGGGCAGCGCAGCAGCCACATACGCCTCCGCCAGTGCAGGAGGGAACTCAGAAGTAGCAGCTGAGGCCCAGGTGCCATCCGAGTTGCGAGCACCAACCACCTGTTGGTGGCTGTCGGGAGCGTGATTGCAAGCACACGCCAAGCCCTGCATATCCCGCCAAGTGCAAGCAAAGAGCCAACGTTTGTACCAATCTGCCCCAAACCGACAAGCCGCAATGCAGTTGAGATCGGCGGAAACGTGCTTAAGAAAAGCCTGGGTCTCTTTCTCGAGCCAGGCAAGGCTGTTGGCAGGGTGTTCGAAGCTAATGTGGCCACCACCGCACCACACAGCGCGGAGGATGTGCAAGGAGCGAAAAAGGAGCAAGCGGCTTTGCTCGAAACGGTGCTTCTCCTCAGCATTCAAGTCTGGGAAACCTTCCATATGGTCCGGTGAACGCAGAGGGCGGGGGCCTGCATTATCCAGCAACTTGAGACGGCTGTACTCAGTGCATGGTGGAGATGCATGCGCAAGTGTCACTTGACCGGAGAACCCCAGCCGCAACAAAGCATCGTAAGTGCTATCCTGGAGGATGTCCTGCTCACATGAGCGAAGGATATCAACTGATATGACAGAGACACCAGCCTTGAGAGCCGCAGAGGAAAGTGGCCGATTCCTGCCTGAACACAACTCGAGGAAAAGATTCCGTCGCAGGGCAGGAAAGTGCGGAGGCAGGACCTGCTCGGGAAGCGTTGGTGATGGGCACGTGACCTGTGCATCCGGAGCAGGAGTTGCAACGACACTGCCTTGAGCAGATGGCGGTGGAGGTGTGCTCGACACGCGAGGCAAGGGAAAACCAAGAGCCGCCAGCAAGGAGACGTCATCAGCGGACAGAGCATCCGGATTGGGCGCAGTATAAGCGATGACGACCCAGCGATCGCCAACCCATGGTTCGCTGCAGTGGCGCAAGCGGCCATTGAAAGAGAATCCTGCCCGCCGAGTGCACACAATGGCCCCACGTAAGGACTGATCTGCCTCCTTGTCTGGAGGCGGCACCAAGGTGTAGCCTGGAAAAGCTGAAGTGTCGCCTTCCAACCACAAGCCTCCGCCCGAGAAGGCCCCCAGGCTGAAGGTGTAATTCTGAGAGTCGGGGCTGTTGAAATCCTGGTGGATGTGCGCAAACTCAGTGTGAGAAACACAGATGCTCGTCCAAGTGCCTTCAGGAAAAAGGTGCGCGAGAAATGCGTTCACATACCGCACAAGATCTTGCTGCTCCAGAGTGGCCGAGCACATGCCACCTTGACCCCCCACGCGTGCCCCTAAGTGAAAATACTGAGCAGCAGGTCGACCCCCAGTCAGCACGTGTGAACGGCGAAGAAAAACTGCACCAGGGAACGAGTCCTGCAAAAGACACAAGCAAGTCTCCCAAGAGAAATCGCCATTCTGAAGAGCTTCTGCGGGCGAGACACCATCATCCTCTCTTGTTGTACGGACATCTGAATTGCCGGCCCCCAGTGAAGAAGATAGTCAGTTTGAAGCGCGTGACTTGTGCTCGTACGCCGGATGCTTACCCAAACATGGACGGCCATCCGCGCCTGGGACCGGACACAAATGCTCAAAGCGACAATTCGCAAACTTGCATCCGTCACGAGAACTGTAGCCACGACAGAGATTCTTGCGTGCCCCAGACTTGTCCTGGTAAGAGAGAACCCAGCGCTGACCTTTGCCACCCTTGCCAGATGAAGACTCCTGAGGGGGCCATTTGCCTGCACATAAGTGGCCAGGCTCCGCCATTACTTCGTTCTTCCATGTAGCCACTTTCAATGTGTCCACGATTTCATGGCTTGGAAACACCGCGCGGCTCTGGTGTGCTTGCAAATCAACAGCATCTGTCCGCTCCCTGGCAAGAACCAGACGTTGCGCAAACATGGCCTTCTTCTCAGCAGCTGCGATTTTCGACAACGCTAGTCTCTCTTGTTCACTGGAAGCAGTAACTAATGCCTGGGAAGACCGGCTTCTGGCAACATGCCCAGACACAGTAGATGGATCTGCAAAGGGGCGCCCACCATGCTTCCCTGCCAAGGTCGCTGCTGCACCCAAAGCCTTGTAATGCCTCTGTTCTTCCTGTGACAGTGTCTTGAAATCTCGACGCAGGCGTTCAAAAAGCGCACCCCTGTCTTGCCACTCATCTTTTGCTACAGTGGGCAGCTTGTCATGAAAGAATGCTCGAAGAGCACCCCCAGGCCGTTTCTCAACTTGGTCCAAGCGCTTTCGGCCCTTGGGATTCGTTCTGGCAGGTTTTCGCTTCTGCACAGCACGTTTTTTCTTCGGAGTGGCACGGTGCTTCCTGGACAGGGCTGGGTGAATAGGGCCTGGTAGGGCAGGGCTGAGGGCTTCGAGTGACTCAGACCTGCAGCGAGGAGGTGGGTTTGGAGGTGGGCTTAGAGTATGGTTTGGGGCCACCCCCACACAGCCATCCCACCCCCCCCCCCCCTTTCCCCCCCTCACCCCACCCAGACCGGTCTGACCCCCCACCCCACCCGGCCCCACCCGCCCCCTTTCCCCCCCCACCCAATCTAGGTCTGGGTCTTGGTTTTTAAGTGGCCTAGAGTCCTAGAGGGCCTAGGGCCTAGGGCCTGGGCTTGTGGCCTATGACACGTGTGGCTCTGGCTAAAAAATGGTTTGGCTGCAGTACTATTACTAGCCACAGCTACAAGCTACAGCTACAAAAGCTAGCAGCTACCTATCTGATACTACTGCTATCTGATATCTCAGATCTCAACTCCCTGGTCCTTGTCCACCGTGTAGTGAAATCCTGGTGCATTTCTGTCCGCACCATTCTGCACAAGTGTTCCGCTGACAAGTCAGCAAAGGCAGGACTCCATGACTGTTGTCGCGCCATGAGAAGCCGTCTTGCTGAAGCATGTCTCGTTTCAATGCTGACAACATCGACTTCAGCAAGCAAAGCACAAGCTTCCAGGGTGGCTTTGGCAGCTGGGCCTGTAAGCGCATCCACATTGGCAAACTTGCTGAGTATGGCCTTCGAGGCAGGGTCCCTCAAGCAGACTGGAGAACGCAGGAGCTTGTCAGCCATTTCATCCAACTCAGGCTTGCTGTCAGACGACAGTAGACCATACAGGCGGTACGGAAAACCAGACCTCGGCAAGCGGATCAAATTGTGTAGCGCACCAGCCATTCGAGCCAACAGTCGGAAGGAAAGCACTTTGATTGAATTTGTTCTGGCCGTCAGTGGCAAAGCCAACAAAGGAGTGTGAAAAGTGTCCCGCAATGTTGCAAAGGCTGTAGCGACATCTCGCGCGCACCAAGCTTCCAGCAATCGAAAGGATCTTTTCTTACCTCGTAGTGCCTGCAGCTGTTGGTGCTTTTCCCATGAGAGACTGGCCAAATAGAGGAATTTTCGCATCAACCGAACAGAGGCCGTCATTGCAGCGCGCACAACCACAAGAACAGGCCCAGGTTTGGAGTCGACCCAAGCTGTGGTCATCCGCTTCATGCTCTGCTTCGCAGCCTTCCAGTCAGTCGCATCTGGCGACCGAGCATTTTCCTGCTGAGACTCCTGAGGCCCTTGAGGCACGCTTTCGGCCACGCATGTGTCCACTGCAGGCAACTCTCCTGGATCAAGATCATCCAAAGCAGCATTGCTGGGGTCTTCTGAACTTTCTGCTGCCAACGCACGGTCAGGAGACTGCCCAGTCAGGAACATCTGAAGAGCGATTCCGCCGATGTTGTGGACTGCAAACAGTAAGCCTGCCTCATCAACAGCCAGCTCACCACCATGCCAGCGATGCCGGGGAAACATGCTTATGCCAGCAGGCAAAAGTGCCGGCACCACGAGCCTGTCAAAGGCTTGCAGGAGCTGCTGCTTGTCGACAGGCTGCAAACTGAAGAACTGAATCTTGTCAGCCTGCTCCCAGTCACCATTGCAGAAAAAATCCAGCGTGGCCCTCTGCCGTGCTCTTTTGCCTGCCAATGGCTCCTCACGCTTGGTCACATCCTCGCCCAGGAACATCTTCAGGATTGCTTTTCGATGGGCTTGGATTTGACCAGTGGGCGGATCACCATACACAACCTCTAGTCTGTCATGGAAGACTTGGGAAATGCATTTGCGCAGCTCTGTCAGAGCTCCCGCCTCCCTCATCAAAAGCGAAAGGCCAATGACACCACTGATATGACTGGAAGCAATTCCAAGTTGCCAGGTTTGACATGCGCTTAAGCGATGCACATCACACCATAAGTGCAAGCGAGTCTGATCGGGGGTGACAAAGTTCATTGCTTGCTCCGTGACCTCATTCGCTGAGTATCGGTCCGTACTTGTCATCTGCATTGTCATGTCAAAGCTTTTGGCTACTTTGTCAAGGCCAGGCACCAAGCCTTCCACAGCCTGCTGCGCCTCAAACAAGTGTTCGGCCTTTGTCCGGAAGACCACTTGCAGTGGAGATGCGACCAAACCATGCATGAAGAAAAACGTTTGAGAGGGAATGCGCTCACACAACATGCCCAGGCTGAAGCGTGATTGCAAGGTCTTCGCAACACTGTAAGCCTGTTCATGACTCTGCCCCCCTTGAACCTTGATCCGCAGCTTCAAGGGGGTCTCATCATAAACACGTTTCTTGATCAGGCAGTGACCCCTCATTATGCCATCACGTATTAAACGGTGAACACGCTGCAAGCAACATGACCACGAAACAGAAAAAGCCTGCACCAGAGAAGCTGCCAAAACTTGCTTGTGCCGACCGAGGGTGGCTCTGGTCATACCAAGATCTTCTGCAAGAGCTGACATGGACTTGACATGGTTTGCTGTGGAATCACCAAACGAATGCTCTATCACAGCCATCATGCCCCCCTTGTCAGCATCATCAGTCTCTCCATCTGGCAAGTGCGTTGTGTCTGCGGTGGGTTCTTGAGGCCTGTTGGCTGCAGCTGCTGTTCCCTCTCGGCTCTGAAACAACACCAAATGCGCAAAGGTTTTACCCAGTAGCGGCGCAGCCGCTCCACTCAACAATGAAGCAGCTGTGACCTGTGGGGAGCATGCCACCTTTGCCTCTGGCACTGTGGCCAATGGAAGGAGTTCTGAGGTGGAGCTGGAACTCCTTTGAGCAGGAGCGCCTCTCCCAGAAAGAAGATCTAGGATTGACACATTGGCACTGGTACTCTCAGCCTTGAACTGCATCTCTGGATTGTCTCTCACGACTTCACGAAGAATTCGGCTTCCTGCTGGACGGCCCCTGCCAGGCCTGCCACTCACACTGGCACCTTGAGACCCTGGAGGCCTTGCAGGCTCTGGCGTGCCAGGAGCACAAAGTGCTGAGGAAGCATCTTCTCTGCCATGCTCCGGGACAATACTGCCACAGTAATCAAGCCAGGAATCCATGGCATGGACATCAAGAATCAGGACACTACGAACGTGAACTTACCATGACCCAGTTTTGACAATCATTCTTGAAGTGACAGTGGCAGCTAGCAGCACCACGACCAACTCACTACCACTCTAGATTCTCTAGATGTAAATGTTGCAGCACTAGACTCACTACACACATCATGTCTGGCCTCTGACGAAACATCGCAGAGAGAATGGTCTCCAATTCACCAATCAACACACAATCAGCCACACTGACTGCAGCACCAGCATGTGGCAACCATGGAACCTGCAGACCACTGACACAGCAACCTGCGTGGGTCCTTGGACGGCTTAGGTTGAGGAACGCTTTGAGGTCCATGAAGCTGGCAAAGACGTGGTACCCGCCGTGGTACCACTCGGCAGCATCCACTCCCTGAATCAGCCTGCCAGTTGCAAGGATGGAGCAGAGCAGCAGAGCTGAATTTGAGATGAATATGAATATTCACAAGGCCCTACAGCCACACTCATCACACAAATCGTTCAACAGCTGTTCTGCACTCAAGACTCTAAAATCTAGAATCTAGACTCCAGTTTCTTGATTCCAGGTGTTATCTGAAGCCAACAGATGACGGAGAACAGCAGCTAACAAGCAGCAAACTGTGGTAAGGTGGCCTTGCCTCTCCAGCGGTGAAGACATGTCTGAGCAGTCTTCTCCCATCCTGAAACCATCAACCTGTTCCAGGCAGCCAGCGCCTGGCTCAAAGGCCTTGAGCCACATGATGAGGTCCTCTGTCTGATAGAACTGCGGATGTTGCGAAACTGACCCATTTGCGAATCGCTTGTGCCTCATCTTGCTGTATGGTGGGCAGGGTGTACCCATCATGAAGAAATCCAGCTTGCCAAACATCGAGCGAGCAGGGCATGACTCACGCTGGGTTGCCCAGTCTGTGTGCATGTAGGTTGGAGGATAGTTGGCCCTCATGAAAGCCCGGCAATCTGGATCTGAGTCTGACGCGCTGACGCACTCATAGGGGATGCGCAGCATCTGACAAGTGATAGGGGCTGCAAACAAGACTGGCTCGCAGATAGCAACTTTCAGATGGAAACTGCACGGCTTGCCTGGACCTACCTGCTCAGATTACTCAGACTCACTCATGTTTGCGCGGCTGCTATAAATGATGGACACACTGTCAAAATTAGTTGGGTGGCCTCAATTCAGGTTCCAAGATTCCCATGCCCAAGATCCCAGCTGAAGCAACTCAAGCGATCACAACCCTGCCCGGCCTCGAGTACCTTGGCCTCTGACAGCATGCCAGAGCAAGCAGAAACCAGCTTGAGAGGCCTCTTCCTGAAAAGGCTGCCTGTGTTGACACTAGCGCAGCCAGTGTGCTGCTTGACTAGCTGCACCCACCAGGGCTCAGGACGTGGAATGGCAGCATCCACATCGATGCAATCGATGAGACTCAAACGGGATGTGTTTTGGGCCCACACACACCCCTCAGCCCCAGCCGCCCCAGCCACCCCAGCCACCCCAGCCCCACATGTGGCACACATGTGCTCTGCCACTTCAGAAGCCTGGCTTCGAGACGCAGTCTCTTCTTTGATCGCATCTGCTTCAAGGATCTCTTCTGAACTCTGCTGTGAAAGAATCACTTCGTCCATTGCAACAGCATGCCACTTAGCCATGCCCGACTGCACAGGCACAGGGCACACAGCCTCTGCCTGGGCCATGACCATGGCTTCTGCACTAAACCTCTGTGTGTCAGTGCAACTCTACACGAAAAAAAACACGAACCTCAGCGACAAAGGTCTGTGGCAGTCCTAGCAGCCATGACACCTAAAGATCTAAACTTATCTGTCGCACCTGTAGTCCACTATGAATGCAAAAAAAACAGACATGGAGTCTCAGGCTACCCGGCTACCCGGCCTGTGCAAGAGCGAGCGCGGGATACATACTCAGTACCATCCTTCCAAACAGTAAACTTCAGTGGGCATGCCCTATTCAAAAATTTCGCGAAAGCATGAAAATAGAATACGTATCTGTACCTGTTGTTCGAGGGACACATGCCAACGCAAAATCAATTCACCTGACTTTGTTGGGAGCTTGTGTCCCAAAACACTACAGGCAGCAAGGGCCACGTCGACGGCAAGGAACGGGCGTTGTTAATGTCTCTCACATCGACACTGTGGCTTCAGACACAGACACAGACCCCACTCAGTCTATCGCCTTGCTGTTTGGTTGTGTTGTCCTTTCTTGCCCTTTTTGTGACCAGTGACGAAATAATCTCACATGCTCTGGGGACTCGCAGAGTCTGAGACTCTTGGACATCACTATTGAGTATCTGTCATACTGCTACTGTGAAGCGATGTGGCCTGTGGCCTTGGTCTTTGCTTCATTCAACACTTAATCCCTTACTATCTTCTCTCTTTCCTTTGCACAACCCGCTTTGCCTCTGATGTGTGTAGTGTCTCTTGTGTTCGTTCTTGCCCTGTTTGTTAACGCATGTCCTATCGTATCGGTCCTATGCCATCCTTGTTTGATCCCTTTAATCCCTGTCTCACCTGTTCTTTTTCTGAACTCTTCCTTTGTATTTCCCATATACTTGCTACGTTTTTCCCATTTTTGTTTCAATTTTCCCTAGTTTTTTGTACTCCTGGCTTCAAGATCTTTGTATTTCCTATGTATTTCCTATGTGTTTCCTATGTTTTCCTATTTTTCCTACCTAGATTCCTAATTTTTTCTTCCTTTTTGAGAAATTTCTGATTCCAAGACCTATTTTTCGTCTATTTTTTTATCTATTTGATTCCTATTTTGCATCCTATTTTTTCCTTTTTGTTTCCTATTTCCATTCCTGTTTTTTATGGGGTGCTAATTTCCTATCCTATTTGATTCCTATTCTATTCCTATTCTTTTCCTAATTAAATTATTTTGAAAATCCTCTACATTTCCATAGCATTAACGTCTTAACATTATGCAGCTGGCCGGCACGGTCTCCATTCGTGCACACTTGGATGCCGACGTAAAGTCCTCCGAATTGGTTGGGGCTGCTCTCCAGCTTATCCACCGCTGTTGGTCCAAGGGACTTGCCCTCCAGTTAAGGGAGATAGATGGATGCGGATGCCTTGAGTGGCAGCAATGGGGGTTGCAAAATCTGCGCGCTATGGGGTCGGTGAGTGTGGCGTGGCATAATGTACTTGCTGGCCACATCGGGCAGGCGCATATAATTGCGCTCCCGGTAACATTGCATGCATCTTGCAGAATTGCCACTACCACCCTGGGCAGCTACGAGGTGTTCTTTCTTCGGTTGAGCTCGCTGCCCTCCTCGTTGAAGTTGGACTTGAGTTTGGATGCATGCTCAAGTACACCATGTGTTGTTCACCCTACACACATGGAGAATGGTACCTCCTCGAATCTACCCAACTAGGCGCTGAGCTTCTTCCGCTCCTCCTGGAGAACATGGCCTTCCGACTCGATCTCAATCTGGTGCAAATCCAAGTAGTTGTCCAGGGACTGACCTTCGCTGTCCCGTTAGTCAGCTTTCTTGTTGATTGGCCTGTTGGCACGGTCTTTATTGCTGTTGCCTTCCCCTCCTTTGAGCACATGGTAGAGGCGCATCCGGTCCTGGTAGGGTCTTACTTTAGCAGGCGCCTCTGTATTGTCAATCCACCTGATGGGATGCTCCCTCTCAATCTCACAATTGATCCAATGCTGCCGGTGCTAATGCTGCAAATACTAATTGTGCAACACATGCGGCAACGGAGTGGTTACCTTGAAAGTCGGGCTTTCGTACTTTGCGATAAGCAGGGCTTTGTTGCGGACACATGTACCAAAATCCAAACAGCGTTCCATGAGGATGCGAGGATACTTCTAAAGTACAAGTGCCTCACCTTCGAAGGTCACCTGTTTAGATTGGTCTCTGCCTCCCACAGCCTACTTTGATGCTAGGACGGCTGGCTTTGCTGTTGGCAACGTCTCCTTGCCGCCTTTTTGGCTCACACTAGCGTAGTAGTGCTTTGGCTCATGGGGGTCTGAGGCTGCTCCACAACGTCACTTTCCTGCCGCCACACTGTACGACTCGCTGCCTTACGGCCCAACTTGTGTCAACAGAGGAAGATTGCCTTGACAGCGACCCAAGGCAGCTTGAGTACGCCCGTACTCTTGCTCTGCCGCAAGCCCTGTCCTTGGATTTGTCCCCCGTGGCCTTGACGCTGGTCCGAGGCAATGACCCTCTAATTTCTCTTTGCGGAGGTGGAGAGGACCCTGTGCAAAGACTGGCATCGTCAGTCGCGCAACGCATTCTTGTTGATCTTTGCACCATCAAAGTTGTTCTTGCCCTGCCACTGCAGAGCGTTCATGGCACTGAAAATGCTGCTGATGCCTTCCAAGCTTGGCTGGGATGGAGCTTAAGCCAAGGAATAAAGATTGGCCAGGTCTCGGGCGGCCTAGACTTTCATTGGCACATGCTTCATTGGTGCCAACTGGCTATCCAGTCTGTGGCCTGTCTTGCATCAGTTAATTCGCACTGGTTCCGTCTTCTCTCTGAAGGTTTGAGGGGAATGCCCTTCTTCGCGATTCCCACGGGGGAACACGCCGGAGCGTTCTTTGGAGTCACGCCTCTTGACGAATGCACTTACAACGTCCATGCAGTTGGAGACTTCCCACTCGCGAGCCTCCGCCTTCTCCGACTGCGTTCACCGTATACAGCTGACTTCGTTAAAAACCCAAGATGCCAAGCAAGGCACCAAGGATACAACCAAGCCAACTCACACAAGTCCAAACCAAGCAAACAAGCTCAGACACTCGGACAACACTTCTGTTTTGGCTTGCAGCACTCACACCAGTGCTCGTCTTGAGCCAAAATGGAAAACGTATCACAGCTCTCCAACTTGACAGCTCGGCTTAAAAGACCTCCAAAACTACCCTCAAGTCACGAAACTCGACGAGAGTGGTTCCCTACGAGGCAAAACGTTCCTGCACCACTAATCGTACTCAGGCTACTGGGAAAACTTCAAAAGCTGAGCAGACTCCAAGCTATGCACACAAAACTGCAAACTGCAAAACTCACCGTGTCGCACCCTCACAGGATGACGCACAGTTCTCGAACTTCTACACCCCCCTCGACACGGTGGGTGTCGGCTGGTCCACGCGCAAGTATTGCAGACAAAGCTCACAAGCAACTCGACGCTGCAGATTGCCTGGGTGGGTATTGCGCAGGGCGGGGCAATCGCTGCGAACATGAAAGGCGTATCCATGCCGCGTAGTGATAATGGCTCTCCGACTTTGTTCCACCGGAAGAAAGGTAAGAAGCTCACTCAAAGATAGGATATGGCGGTGACGCTGTCGGTATTGCTGCACAAAGATTCCAGCGAGGAAGTTGCCAAGCATCGCCAAGGAAAACATCACAAGGAAGGCGATCAAACTGACTTCCACCTGCTGCTGAGGAACCCATTGCATCCAGAGCTCTCGAACCCAAGTGCGCCTCACAGCGTTTTCAACCTCAACCATATCAGCCATGGCACGTCCTATGCTCTATACACCGTACCGAAGGCAAAGTAAAAGGAGGAAAAAACTTTGAGCAAATCTCGCGGCGTCATGCGTTTAACGCGTGCAAGAAAGCGTTCGTCAACTTCTCCGGGTAGTGTTGGGTATTCTTGAGATCGAAGTTGGCGGAATGTAGATGACCATCACCTGGGCACCGAAAGACCGACAAGCTGCGAGCAACCGACTCCATCGTCGTGATGACACGCCAACGTTTGTAGATCAACTCGCCATCTCGACCACGCATGCCAAGCGAGCAACCGTCAACCAACACATCGTGCAACATGTACGGTCGCGACTGCAGAAAACGGATAGTCTGGTTCCATGACCAGTAAGCACAGGCTCGGGGCCACTCGATCGACCAAGCATGGACGTAGTCACACAGCGACATAAAAGCCTTCCACAGCTTCCTGTGTAGCGACCAGTGCCGTGCCAAGCGACCGCGTCTGTAGGCTGGATCACGTGCATGTAGATGCTGGTACAGACAACCACCGGTGCACGGAGTACTGGCCCGCAAGTAGACGAAACCCCCCCCTGCGGATGTGGAGAGCGCAGATCTGTTGAAGCTGCGCTGTAGTGGCCGGGTCTCCGCCGTCATCTGCCTCACTGACGGTCAACACACCAACCCAGGAGCACGCTCGCGACGCAGCCAACATGCTCGACATGGGAGGCGCACAGAACTCAACCACCAACCACTTGGCAAACTCCATCAAACGATACCGATCTGCAAGAGATACATGATCCTTGCCAGCCACAGCAGCACCAAGCAAGCCAACGAAACACGCCAACTCACCAACGCAAGCTGCAACAGTGACTTCGGACAAACCAAGGCTCAACATGTGTTTCAACGTAGTCCGGGCATCTAACGATTTTGTGAAGAGGTCGGCGACGTTGGATGCTCCTCGCACTCCGAAGATGAAGAGAAGTCGCTGTCGGAGCTGATCTTGTATAAAGCATGCTCTCAGATCTATATGTCTGACACGCCTCAATCCGTCAGCCCTGCTGATGGCAATGGCGGCCTCGGAGTCGCAAAAGAGGTGCGGTGCGCACAACTCCTCCCATCCAAACACGTGGGAATTGCCCTTCGGATTGAAAGTGATTCCTTTGCTCCCTCAACCAATCCATACAACTCCGACTCTGCTGAGCTAAGAGCGACAGCTTGTTGAAGCCGTGACCACGCTTTCATGCAGAAACCACC